TTGGAGGCCAGTATCTGCCAGAGCGTCCTTTCGGATCCTCGTTCCTTTGAGGTGTTGCCTTTGAAGAAATAGGTCGATAAAAACAAAAATGGCGGCCACTCCCATAAGGATCTAGGGAAACAAATGGATCATTATGATTTTCATCACACACCTAGAAGGCAGGCACAGATTCCCTTCCAAGTTTATCCTCGGAGGTGATGCACAGTGTACCCTTAAATGTCTCCCTCCCAGACCCACCCTCAGTCTGTTCTCCCTGGTTCTGTGCCCAGTGCCCCTCATCTGGTTTATATTTTTTCCTTTGGACAAACATGAGGGAGGGTGACAGGTAACTTGTCTGCCTTCATAGACACCACCTTTAAAAACGTGTCTTCTCCACTAGAAACATTGACCAATGCCTTAAATTTGCTTTCACCCCCAAGTTTTGTTTGTTTATTTGCTTGAGACAGTGTCTCATGTATCCCAGGCTTGCCTTGAACTCATTGTTGAGCCAAGGACTTTGGATCCTCTGCCTCTACCTCCTGAGTACCAGTGTTATAGATACACATGAGGTTTTCACAGTGCTGCAGATCAGGCTGGACCAGCGCTCCACAGAGTCAGCGCTGCAACCCAGCCTTGATCCCAGGACATTTGTGATGCTGATTTGAGGAGATCCACCGCTCAGCAGAAGCACCTCACCACGGCTATTAAGCAGGGCACAGCACTGAGCAGAAACACCTCACCACAGCTATTAAGTAGGGCTTTGGCATCACTCGTCTGGCTTTCGTAGCAAACACTACGCCACCTACGAGGAACACGCAGGAGAAGAGGTCGTTGAAGAGGTCCTGAAAGGGGAAGAGATAAACTGGTCTTAAAAAGTTGTGCCCCACCCACCCCAGACACAGCACAGTTTACTCCATGTAACCATGATCAAATGCCCCTGCACAACCCTGACAATTTAAAACAAAATATACAAAGGTAAATATGTTTCTGGCCAAGCAGGTCAACCATGGCTCCCTGCTGGCCTCTGCGAGTAGAGGACAGAGTCCAAATTTACCTTCTGTCAGCCCAGGTGAGACACAAGATGCCATCTTGTCTACAAAACCAGGTGTCTGGTGCCTATCAATAATCATGTAAATAAATGCATAAACAGACTATTTCAAGGTATCTGTTAGATACTTGCTTGATGCCTGTTTTGTATATGTAATTGTACTATGTTAAAGTTAAAACCTTTCTTTTAGCCGGGTGGTGGTGGCGCACGCCTTTAATCCCAGCACTCAGGAGGCAGAGGCAGGTGGATCTCTGTGAGTTCAAGGCCAGCCTGGTCTACAAGAGCTAGTTCCAGGACAGGAACCAAAAGCTACAGAGAAACCCTGTCTCGAAAAATCCAAAAAACAAAACAAAACAAAAGAAAAAACAAACAAACAAAAACAAAAAACAAAAAAAACCCCACCTTTTTATTTAAACAGAAAAGGGGAGATGATGTAAGAGATCCTTCTGTATATGTGATGCTTTTATTAGTTAATAAATAAATTGTCTTGGGCCTGTACAGAGCAGAATAGAGGTAGGTGGGGAAAACTAAACTGAATGCTGGGAGAAAGAAGGTAGAGTCAGGAGAAGTCTGTATCCCTGCTGGAGACAGATGCCGGAACTAGCCAGTAGGCCATGAGGCCTTCTGGCAAATATAAACTAATAATAATGGATTAAATTAAGATGTAAGAGTTAGCCAATAAGAAGCTAGAGCTAATGGGCCAAGCAGTGATTTTATTAATACAGTTTCTGTGTGATTATTTTGGGAGTCTGGGCAGCCAGGAACAAACAAACAGCCTCCTTACAACATTGTTGTTGCTGTTGTTCACCACTGGATTTTTGACTTAGAGTTTCTCTGTGTAGCCATGGCTCCCCTGGAACTCCTTCTGTAGTCTAGGCTGGCCTCTAAGTAGAGATCTTCCGCCTTTGCCTCCCAGTGGCTGGGATTAAAGGTGTGTGCCACCACTGACCTGAGTTGTAGTTTTATTTTTGTCTACAGTCATTTAAACAGCATTGTTTATTTTCTCACATCTTAGTTCATCTATGATCTTTGAGTCTCGGGATTATAATCTTCCAACTTGTTTCATTTATTTATTTTTTGATACAGAATTTTTGCTATAAGACCATAATGGCATTGAGCTCAGTCTTCCTGTTTTGGCTTTGAGTTTCAGGATTATGGATATATGCTATTGAAACATTGACCATGTTTGCCAATTTCTGATTCTTAGTTTGGAGAATTTTTAAATTACCAAATGTATCACTCATCCCTTAATGCTTTGGCTGCGGTTCTGCATTTATTTCTGTTCTGAGTTCAGAGGATGTAATTAGAACATCAGCAGCATAAGTCATGAGTTTTCTAGGGTCTGAGCAACAAAAATTCAGGTTCTAAACCTATGTAAGGGAAAGATTTTAGCTTTCTCATTCTCAAAGAAAACCCTCCCCTCCCCTCCTCACTCCCACAGGTCACGAATGGATCAACGTTTCTTGCTTCTCTGTGTTGGCAAAATGTGTACGTCTTTTTTCCCCCATCCTTCCCCTATGGATGCAGTATTCTCAGGGTGCTGGTTTGATTTTCTAAGCCTCTCCTTGGCTTTGGAGTAAGACTTTGTGCTGGCTATTTTGATGTCAATTTGACATGAACTAGAGTCATCAGAGAAGAGGGCACCTCAGTTGAGAAAATGTCTCCATAAGATCCGTCTGTAGGGCATTTCCCTTTTTCTTTTAATATTTTTTAAAATTTATTTTAAATACCAACCAGAGTTCTTCCTCTCACAACACTCCCACTTCCCCAACCCATCCCCCATCTACTCCTCAGAAATGATTTTTCTGAGGGTGTTTTCTTTTCTGTTTTTTAAATTTATAATATTCTCTTGAAGTCTTCTTTTTTTATATATTTTTTATGGTTTATTTAACCTTATTTTATGTGCATTGGTGTTAAGTGTCAGATCCCCTGGAACTGATCTTCAGACAGTTGTAAGCTGCCATGTGGGTGCTGGGAATTGAACCCGGGTTCTCTGGAAGAGCAGTCAGTGCTCTTAACCACTGAGCCATCTCTCCAGCCCCTGAGGGTGTTTTCTTAATTAGTGTTTGATGGGTGGAAGGCCCAGTCCATTATGGGTTGTGCCTTCACTGGGCTGGTGGTCCTTGGTTCTACAGGAAGCAGGCTGAGCAAAGCATGGGGAACAAGACAGAAGCAGCATCCTCCATGGCCTCTGTACCAGCTCCTGCCTCCCTCTAGGTCCCTGCCCTTTTGTTAAAAGCTGTTAGTGACCAAGTTGTGGTGGCGCACGCCTTTAATCTCAGTACTCAGGAGGAAGAGGCATGAAGATCTGTGAGTTCAAGACCAACATTGTCTTCAGATTGAGTTCAAAGAAAGTGAAGTGTTACACACAGAAATCATGTCTTAACAAAACAAAATTAATTAACTTTTAAAGAAAAGCTGTTAGTGTTCAGGGATCTATCAGTCGTCATGACGACCCCAGGACAGGAAGGAAGAAGAGGAGAACTAAACTGAAAACTCTTGGAAACAGAATGCACAGAAAAGAAACTAAAAAGACAGAGACCACATGGCTAGTGAAGGAACTAAAAAGATTAAGTCTAAAAGAACTGAAAAAATTAAGTCACAGCTAACAGAAGAATCTTCTATTAAGTTTGGATCTTTCTTTTTTTTCTTTTGTGCTGTTTACTAGTTGAGTTTAGTTGGGTTATTTGACTTCGGTAGGCTCATTTGCTGGTTTGTGAAGTGAAAGAATTGGGGAACCAAGGGCTCTAGAGGTGGGTAATAAACAAGGGGTACCGGAAGTTGAGGTGCTTGTTGGCTAGGAGGAAGTTAGCTGGGTACGTTTGGTGATTCCGTAAGTGAGGTGAGGGAATTCTAGTCCTGAGACCTAAGACACAATGGTAAGAAATTTACGTGTGGTCAATCTCACTATGGATTGTTGCAGTCCCTGAGGCATAGATAAGGGACCAGAGTAATGGATGCTTGAGGGACGTCCCAAGCTCAGCCTCACCCCATTGGATGACTGTTTCAGGTTGGCCTTGATCCTGAAGCATTCTTCCTGTTCACTAGAGACCTGACATGGTTTAGCCTCGTTTGACATTTCTTTCCCCCTACCTTACTAGTTTATGCAGAGTCTGATTTTCTGTGTTGAATCCTGGAATGATATCCCAATGAGATGGATGCCAGCAAAAAGCATTAGCAAAAATGGCTGGTTTTGAAACCCTGCCTGTTTCTGAGACAGCAAAGCCTCGATTACTCTTCTTTGACCCAACGCAGTTAGGTTTTGGGGGAGCATTTTCTGCCTGGCTTCGGTTCTCTAACCCAGTTTCCCACCCTGAGCACCAGTAGAGGAGGTGAGGTTGTCTTTTTGCAGGTGCTTTTAGAAGGTGACTGGCAGCATCATTCTTTACTTACAGTGATAGGCCAGAAGATGAAGGGCATGTATCTGTTAAGGGCGAAGCTGTAGAGGAATATGAAGAAAGTGAAGATGGACACTTCCATAGTGAGGAGCAGGATCAGGATGGGGTGTGTGGGCACTGTTTCGAAGAGGTATAGTCCAGCCATCATGCAGACCTGGATGGAAAAATACATACTCTTGAGCTCCTGCAAGGGCTCTCCCTGGCTTCTGGGACCTTCCCCTCCACAGACACCCCCTGGAATTCCAATCCAGCTTACCAAACTCAAGATCTTGACCTCAGCATGTCCCATTGTCCAGAACTCTTTATTGCTGTCTTTGAATTCCCACTTGTAGCGTCGAAACCCTTTTCTTGTGCCCACCTCACCCTTGGGCTGAATTGTTCCTTTTTGCCTCTGGGCATCTTCTGGCTTTGGTGGAGGCGCAGGCGCGGCCATGGTTGTCAGTAGATCTCAATTTCTCACTGCTCAGCCCTGCCTGCAGTCCCTGAACAGGCCCAGCTCAAGAGAGAGCCTGGTGTCTTCAGACCCGTTCAAGGATGGTGCTCAACTGACGGCTGGGACTGCTGAATTCCAACGCCTATGCTTGGTCAGTGCGAGCCCGCCTCATCTCGTGGACCAGCAGGATCGCCCCACCCCTGCAGATGCGGAACATCCCACCCTCCACGCGGCAGAATGCGCGGAGCCCCACTGGTTCTAGCGAGGCCTTCCTTGAAAAGGAGTCCCAGGTTTGTGGCTGTTGCGCCCTGGGTTTCTGTCCCTTCTGTCCTCCTGGGACAGCCTTGTGGAGGAGTGGGAGTGTAATGTGACTTTTACACAAGGCCACACGAGGAAGCAGACGTGTTGACGATTTAGCAGTCCTGTCTTTATGGCCACACACACGTGTGCTTTGGAGCTCTGTGATGACCTGGAGGGAGTGATTACACGCGGACACGAGTCTCTGTCAAATGCTGGAAGGGCTGGGTGACTTCGTCATAGCTTCTGTCTCAATGGGCGGTGGAGGGCTTAGTTTACAGTCTCAGGGCTTTTTTCCTGTTTTTCCTCATCTCATTGGAGACCAACAAGGCATCGATGAGACACAGGATTGCTGCCGAGAGGCACAGGATCTGTCAGACACAACACAGATGAGAAGGAAAGGCCAGATTACTTTAATAACAAGCTCAGTGTTCATCTCTCATTACTGTTCCTCTCTGATGATGTGAAGAGCTGCAACTGGTCTCTCCTGGCCAGGTTTGTTTTCCCAAGAAAAAGGGAAACAGTGTGGTTTGCTGCCTGCAGTGGCCTGATCTTATGACCCACTAGCTACTAGACCAGTGGTTCTCAACATGTGGATTGCGACCCCTTTGCCCTAATGATCCTTTCACAGGGCTCCCCGAACACCAAGGGAAAACAGATATTTACACTTCAATTCCTAATTATGGTGAAATTACAGTTATGAAGAAGCAATGAAAATGATTTTATGGTTGATGTCACCACAACACGAGGAACTGTGTTAAACAATCCCAGCATTAATTAGGTTGAAAACCACTGTATTTAGTCAATGCCCTTTGTAGCTCGAGTGCCTGGCAGAGTTGAGCCTGGGTGGTGGATGGTCTGGAGTTCTCTGAGGAGGGGACAGGTTTGAGATTCAGAAAACCCTCCTGCAGTGGCTATGAGATGAAAGGAGGGTATACATCTTCAGCCTATAAACCTAGAATAGCTGATAGACTTTCCTGTGAAACAGGAAGTTTGAAGAACTGTCTAACCCTGTCTTGGCAAAGTTAGACAGTTGCTTTCTTTTGTTTCCTGCTTGTCCGGTTTGGACCAGCATACTGTTAGCAGTTGAGACAAGGACAGTTTCTTGCCCAGTGGTCAACTTCTGCCACAATGAAAGCAAACTCCATATGGACTTTCTTTGATACCCATCATCTTCTCTGAAGTAGATTGGTGCTTTCAGGAACAGCCACGACTCATTGTCATAAAAAGTCTTATATTATTAAAACATCTTAAACGCCATATTCTGTAGATCTCTGAAATGTTTGGAGACTGTCTGTCTAAAATATACCTCTGTTTGTAAAAACATACCTAACATTACTACAAGTTTGATTGTAATAGTTTACTACTAACCTGAACTCCTTTATTTTCCCAAATATTTGGTAATAATAACTTTCAAGGACTAGAAGCTTACATTACATTATTAAATGAGCTGCATTTGTACAATATCTTAAATAAGAAAGTCCATATGGAATTTGCTTTCTTTGTAACAAATGTATGTACAATATGTTCTAACAAAAATGACAAATTTGTATCAATATATAAAAATATCTTAAACAAGAGTATAAACACATACACTATAACAAACATAACCTTCAATTTGTATTAATATACAAAAATCCTCATCAATGTAAAATATTTAAGGCTACTAGTTGCTTTTTTAGTTTAAAAGTAAAGTGAGCTACTTGTTTATTCTGTCATTTCTTTATCCCCCCCTTTTTTTGTATTTAGAATGAAATCCCAGAATCTAATTTCCTTTATTCAGCTTTTTTTCTTCCGACCATGACCAATAACAATTTGTAATCAACCCCCCTAAATCATGACAAATATCCATTACTCACTGAATGACCCCCAAATCACCCACCCCTCTTCTTGGGAATGTAGACATTGTTTACTCTAGATGGTTTTCTGTTGTCTGAAAGTGAAGGCATCCCTAGGGGTCCCTGATAAAATTAAAATAAAGGTTAAATCATTTGTTGCCAGTCTCTGTGTAATGGGAAGTCCTGATGAAAGTAGGGTATGAAGCTGGACCATCTCAGCCAGCCACCTTGAAATTGTCCTCAGCAGTTTGTAGTCCAAAGCCAATCCCTAGGTGGTGTTTGTCAACTTAGTGGTGTTACCACAACCAAGGGGGAATCATTGTTGTGGGGCTCCCTCATCCTTTTGGAGGCTTCAAAGTTCACTGTTAGGAATGGTCATGGTTCACTGCAGAAAACTTAAATAATTTAAATGACATATACAACAGATCTTGAAAGAGGTCAAAGAACCACAATTCGTTACGTATATCCAGAGTACACAAGCTTAGTTCCTAGTTACCTAAGAGACTCAAACCTGAAATCATGTTCAGAAAGCTAAATGAAGCATTTTTCTAAAACTAGTTAGTACTCTATATGACCGTTAATATCACAACAGAAAGTTTAAATATGCATATTTTAACCTGATAACTTTTGAGATAATATTTATAGCATAAGAAAATTTTAGCAGTCAAAGTAAAACCAAAGTATTATGAGATTAGTGACAAGAGAATGATCCCTGAATTTGGGTTTCTCTTCTGCTTCATGTCAGCTGGCTCTTCTGACATGAGAGAGAGAGATTTTGGATTTTCCTTTGACAAGCATGGTTGGGTTTAGATAGAGAGCCACTTTCAAATTCCAAAGACAGCTTTAATTTTTAACTGAACTGGGACTACAAAAAGACCATTTGTCTTATATGTCTGTAGAGAACAGCAGAAACAAACATTTGGGAAGATTTATGAAATTTTATCTGTTGGAAATGTGCCATACCATTAGGCCAATTTATTCTTTTTCTTAAGACTTTTTTATTTCTGGATGATTCATCCTTTCTCTTCAGGTGAACTCATTTGTCCAGTGGTCTTCAGATTCCTTAGTTCAATACTTTCAATTCTCCTGGAAAGACAAAAGAAAACCCCTGCCCCAACCCTAACTTTGGGGAGGTTCTTTTTTTGGCATGTTATATCTGATCAAATGAAAAGGATTTGTTAGTTGTTTAAGTTAGTTTGGATTGAATGGCCACACTGTTTGATAAGCTATTATCTCTTTTAATCGAGAGATCTCTCCCATTCAAACCTAAGCTTTATCAATCTTGATGGTATCCATAGCTTTTCTTCTTTGCTGGAAGCAAAACCTCTTCCCCAAATAACACATATCCTGATTTCCATTCTGAGGTCAACACATCTTTAAAGTATACAGGATGATTTAATTCAGTGGTTATTTTCTATTATCTAATGTAAATGGAGACTATTCTTATGTTTCCCGGTCACCCAGACCCAAATAATCACACAGAAACTATATTAATCACAATACTGCTTGGCCAATAGCTTAGGCATATTCCTGGCTAACTCTTATATTTTAAGTTGACCCATTTCTATCATTCTGTCTATCACCATGAGGCTGTGGCTTACTGGGTAAGGTTCCAGTGTCTGTCTCTTTCAGCAGTTACATGGCATCTCTTTGACTCCACCTATTCTCTCTCTCTCTATCCCTTCCAGCCTGGTTATATTCTACCCTGCCAGAGGCCAAAGCAGCTTTACTCATTAACCAATAAAAGCAACAGATATACAGAAAGACATCCCACATCAATCCAAAATCTCTCTACAGCTGTCTTTTCTTTATTATTAACATTTAAACATTTAAAGTTGATAAAGCATTGTATAATCTATCTATGGCGTTCTTTATTGTCCCCTTGTACTTTATTAAGCATATCTCTTACAGTATGATTTAGATTTTTCTATAACTGCTTGCCCTATGGGATTATTTAACATTCCTTGTGTACAGATTTTCCACTGATATCTTTTAACAGGCCCAGATTTGTTATAAGTAGGCACTATGAAGGAAATTTTTTTTCTCTATCCTTTTCTTGTAAAGGTATAATAAAAAGCAGTCTTCTAAATCAATCACTATAATATACCATCTCTTAGGTAATAAAGACCACTAGGGAATTCCAGACTTGTAAAGCTTCCATTGGCTGGATCAACTCATTATTAACAGCTCTTATATCTATTACCATTCCCTGTTTTCCAGATTTCTTTTTAATGACAAATACAGGAGAATTCCAAGGACTGGCTGATTCTTCAATATGTTGAGCACTTAGCTGCTCCTGTATCAGCGGTTCGAGTGCCTGTAATTTTTCTGATGTCCAAGACCATTGTTCCATCCATACAGGTTTGTGTGTCAACCATTTTAAATGTAGGGCTATTTGTACCTTTAAAAGATCAGCAGCTGTGGTACCCTGTTTATGTACAACCTGAATGGTCAGAGACTGCTTTTTATAATACCTTCTAATATTTTTCTCAGAAAGCTATGTTTGTTTATGGTTTGTTTCTGAGATTAGAGTGAAAGAGCTACACACCTGGCACTGAGACCTTAGCCAGAGAAAGAAACTCCTTTAGTCCTGAATCCAGAACCAAAGAAACATGCCCTGACTCTGAGACCAGTGCTGAAATATCACACTTTGTCCCTAGAATCAGAGCCGGTGAAAGAAATATATTCTGGCCCTAAATTTAGAGCCAAAAGACTAAAAAGGACCAGTGAAAGAAGCACAGTTTGGCTCTGAAATCAGAGCAATTGCTGCCCCTGACCAACTACATAACCAATCCCTGAGCAGAAAAAACTTCTCCCTGTGAAAACTCAGCCCTTAAGAAGCCCTAAAGAAGCCCTTCTGCTTGTTCAATTGTGGGCTGTCCTTCACCTGGCAGGAATAGACACTCTCCTGGACTCCTCCTCCCCAAATAAATCTCTTCAAAACAAAAGAGTTTTGGATGAAGATCTTCATTCACTGGCTCTGAATAGAAAAACCTGGCTGGGATGTTCCTTAGGCGACTGAGCAGAAAAACCTTTCTGAGACACTCCCTTAGCAGGCCTGAGCAAGGCTGAGCAGAAAAAGTAACAACTTTTGGCTGGGATGAGAGGCTATTGCTGCACCTCCGTATCGGCTTCCCTTTAGCAGAGTGTAGCAGAAGTAACATCTTGGGCCGCAGAAGAAGCAGCAGATAACCCTGCCAGGACGATCAGTCAGAGAAGCAGAGCAGAGAGCTCAACTGTAGTGGCGCTCCAGGAGAGGAACACAATTGCTGTATCCTGGGAGGAGACCCTCACCCACTGCACCTCGGCTTCAGGTAGCCTGGCTTCCCCACAAGTCAGGATATCTTTCCCTCCAGGGCCGAGCTGTCCTATTGTCCTCCAGAGCTGTTCTACTGCAGCTCTAGGAACAGCCTGGCTTCTGGATAAGTCAGGATATCTTTGCAGCTCCAGAGCTGTAACACTCCTACTTGCTTACTGTCTTTGCTAGGGATTTGATCTTGGGAAATCTCCTAACTTCTAGAACTATCCCATTGTTTGATGGGCCCTAGCTGCATCTCTCGACCAGGTTCTCCACTGGAACTGAGGATGAGCTTTCAATACTGCTGTCACTAAACGTTTTTAGTATCGTGGAATAATCCTGCTCCAAGTGGCCCAAGAATTTAAAATCTACTTCTCAAAAGATGAATACATACCATATAAAACAACTGTTACCGTAGATTTCTTCAAATCTAACATTTCAATAGGATCCCAGTTAACTTCTGAATAGCCTTGGGTGGGGGGGGTGCCTAGCATCTGGTGGTCATTCTTGAGTGGTAACTGGATAAATTAAGGTTGGTTTCTAATAACCTTGGGCCGCTCTTCTTCACTTTCGTAAAGCAAGCTTTATTGTCAGAATGAGATTAAAATAGCACACAACACACAGGTTTCGTGTGGTACCACTTCCCTAGCTGGCAAACAGTGCATACGTGGTCCCCTGCATGGTTGGTTCACAGAGACTTACATAGTGAGTGCCCTCTTGTGATATGCTCAATATGCTATCCAGTCTCAATAGAAACTACTTCTGTCTTGGGCTCCTTTCTTCCAGAAGTCCTACAAAGAGCTGCTAGAAAAAACAGCTGGTGTTTTTGCCATATCTTGGGTCTCTCTCAGGAGTTTTGTCTTCTTTCTGGAGTACTGATTTCTGCTAAATGCTAAATATATTTATATATATATATATATTTCTGATAAATGCTAAAATATATTTTTTAGATTTTTTTATATGTATGGGCATTTTACCCTTTATGTATGTATCTATGCCACATGTGTGTGTGGTGCCCATGGAGATCAGAAAAGGGTGTCAGGTCCCTGGAACTGGAGCCACAGATGCTTGTGAGCCACCATCGGGTACTGACAACTGAACCTGGGTCCCTGGAAAAGCAGCCAGTGCTCTTAAACGATGAGCCATCTCTCTAGATCCTCTGCCCCAAATCTTTAATTTTTCATCTTTAAGCTTTCCCTTTTATGTTTTGTTAAAGGCTTATTCTTTGTCTGTATGCTTTTCTGTGTAGGGTATGCGCATATGAGGGTAGTTGGCATGTGGAGGCCTGAAGAGGCAGTTGGATTGTGGAATTGGGGTTACAGGTAGTTGTCAGCCACCCTACCTGCGGTCCTCTCTACGTGCAGGATGCTTTAACCAAAATATCCGTCTCCCTAGTCCCCAAGCTTTCTGTCTATAATAGTTAAAAAGCTCTTCGGGACTCAGCCTTGTCTGTGGGTTCCATTCTTTGAATTCCCAAGACAAGGGAGTGGAGCTAAGGCCTGTGTCGGGCACAGCTGAGATGAGAAAGTCTGCCATGCGCACTGAGCTGCACCGTTTGTTAATTCTCCATTTCAGGCTCAGCTGTCTTCCCTTTTCCCTTCTGGAGGAAGATTCCCTGAGGGTGGCTGGACCAGCTAGGGCAGTGGTTCTCAACCCGTAGATCACAACCACTGGGGGCCTTCTCTCAGCACTGAAATCTCCAGGAGTTTCTGTGGGATGAAATGCACTGGACAAATATTGTCTAACTTTTAGTATAAAATTTGTTTAAAGAGGAAATTTACTTTCCAAGAAGTGTTTATTGATGGAAAAGAAAAGCAGGCTAGGACACCAACAGGAGAGTGTGTTGGAAGGCCTGGCCACAAAACTTGCTGCCATTCCTGACCACAAGTGTTGATGTCCAGTCATTTCTTCTGCTTTTTCTGCTGCTTTTTCTGCTCCTTTTTCTTCTCCTTCTCCTTCTTCTTCTTCTCCTTCTCCTTCATTTCTTTTTCTTTTTCCAGTTTCTCCTTCTCTTCCTTCTCCTTTTGCCGTGCCTCCTCTTCCTCTTTGGCCTCCAGCATTGCTTGTAGTTTTGGGTCCGGCATTTTGCCATTCTTGTCTGGAGCAAGCAGAGCATACTTTCGGATCTTCTTGCCTTTGAGATGTCTCCTTTGAAGACATAGGTCAACCACAGCAAAAAATGCGGCAATTCCCATAAGGATCTAGAGAAACAAATGGATGTTCATGATTTTCATCACACACCTAGAAGGAAGGTACAGATTCCCTTCCAAGTCTATCCTCGGAGGTGATGCACAGTGTACCCCTAAATGTCTCCCTCCTAGACCCACCCTCAGTCTGCTCTCCCTGGTTCCGTGCCCAGTGCCCCTCATCTGGTTTATATTTTTTCCTTTGGACAAACATGAGGGAGGGTGACAGGTAACTTGTCTGCCTTCCTAGACACCACCTTTAAAAACGTGTCTTCTCCACTAGAAACATTGACCAATGCCTTAAATTTGCTTTCACCCCCAAGTTTTGTTTGAGACACTGTCTCATGTATCCCAGGCCTGCCTTGAACTCACTGTTGAGTCATGGATGTCTTCGGACTTTGGATCCTCTGCCTCTCCTGCCTGACTACTAGCAATTAAAGACAGGCATGAGGCACTACAGTAGCTTTTGGCAGTGCCGTAGATCAGGCTAGACCAGCACTCTACAGACTCAGCGCTGCAACCCAACCCTGATCCCAGGATTTTTGTGATGCTGATTTGAGGAAATCCACTGCTCAGCAGAAGAACCTCACCATAGCTGCAACGTAGGCGTCTGGCATCGTTCTTCTAGCCCTCAAAGCAAAGACTATGCCGCCTATGAGAAACCCGCAGGCGAAGAGATCGTTGAAGAGGTCCTGAAAATGGGAGAGGTAAGCTGGTCTTAGATAGTTGTGCCCCACCCACCCCAGACACAGCACAGTTTACTCCATGTAACCATGATCAAATGCCCCTGCACAACCCTGACAATTTAAAACAAAATATACAAAGGTAAATATGTTTCTGGCCAAGCAGGTCAACCATGGCTCCCTGCTGGCCTCTGCGAGTAGAGGACAGAGTCCAAACTTACCTGCTGTCAGCCCAGGTGAGACACAAGATACCATCTTGTCTACAAAACCAGGTGTCTGGTGCCTATCAGTAATCATGTAAATAAATGCATAAACAGACTACTTCAAGGTATCTGTTAGGTACTTCCCCTCATCATTTCTGTACTGTCCTCTCCAGAGTTTCCACGAGCAGTATTGCTGGGAGGATGTCCTTGCTCTCTGGGAGCCTTGAAGTTCCCTCTTCACCTAACCCTGCCTTACACCCTGGACCACCTTCCCTGATTGCTTCCTTCGTCAATTTTTTCTTTCATTCCTTGGGGATTTGGTATTCCTTTACCACATACAAGCTCTCTTCTCCCAACACAGAATAAAACCAACCAAAATTCTAAGCACTTATGCTTAGAATAAATACTTTCTTTCCCCATTTTCTATTAGTTATTTTTTTATAGGATGTCTAAATTTTAAGTTGTTTTTAATTGTAGTGGGATGTACAATCTCTCCTGTCAATATTCCTTGGTACTCTCCTTGAATATTTTGTCCACCTGTCTTTCAAAAACAGTTTTGCTTCTTTTCATCTTATGTCTACGAGTGTGTTGGCTGTATGTGTAATCTGCCAAATGTGTGTAGTGCCTGAGAAGGCCAGAGAGGGCACTGGATTCTCTGGAACTAGAGTTACAGCAGCTTGTGGGGTGCTTGGGAACCCAGCTGGGTCCTCTGCAGGAACAGCCAGTGCTCTTAACTGCTTAGTCAACTGCTTAGCTACCTCTGTCATATATAAGTCACTGGATGAGTGTAACTTGAAATCTACCTCTCTGTTAGCACACCATTCCTTATAAAACACCATAGGCTGGGTGGCTTAAACTACAGATGTTTATCCTCTGGCCTTCTGGAGACTGGAAGACCAGGAGCGAGGCACCAGAGCCCTCTCCCTGGCTGGAGGCAGCTGCCCTTCCCTCTCTATCTTCATATGACTTTCCATTGGAGACAGGTCATAGGACCTGTCACTTCCTGTAATAATACTAATGGTTTTGGATCAGGGTCCCAACCTTAAGTTTTCTGTTTATGCTTAGTTGCTTCCTCAAAGGCCCCATCTCAGGGAGGGGGACACAAACATCTAGGGAGGACACAAACATTCCATTTGTAACAATTCCATTAGTTAATCCATGATCTAGCACCAAAACTTAGGGTAACTCTTGCATTTGGTTGGGCAAATCCATTTTTGTAATTCTTTTCATTTTTCCAAATAATTTTATTTGTAATGTTTTTATTAGCTCATGTTAAGTTATACTTAATAATGGGCTGATTATATTTTATTTAATAATTTATTTGTTTTTATTTTATTTGCATTGGTGTTTTGCCTGCATGAATGTCTGTTTGAAGGTATATCTTGGAGCTACAGTTGTTAGATACCATGTAGGTTTTGGGAATTGAACGTGGGTCCTCTGGAAGAACAGTCAGTGCTCTTAACCACTGAGCCATCTCTCCAACCCCCTTATTATATTTTCGAACATGAATAGAAAGGAATTGAACACATTCCCCCCTCCCCCCCGTTACCTTCTCTATGTCTTTCTTCCCGCTTTGGCTATTCTTCTTCACAACTATTTCTACCTTCTCCCCGCCTCCCTGCCTGTGTGTGTGTGTGCGCGCGTGCGCGCGTTTGTGTGCGTGTGTGTCCCATTGTGTTTCACTGTGGTTGTTTTGAGGTGCATGGGTGAAAATTTGTATACAGAAGCACAGGACCCCTACCAGTGGCTACTGTACTGAAGAAAAATGTCTCCCCTTTCTGCATCAGTCTTTGACTACATATAAATCTTCAGGTTGTAGGACATGAGCATCTGTCGCTTCCACGAAGGGCATTAATGAACCAAATTGTGTTTATGTAATCACAGCCGTTGAGAGTTGAAGAGCGTAACAGCCACATGGCCCATGTCTAGAAGCCAGAGATCACCCTTTGGAAGATGTTGGCTGAGCCTCAGCGAGGGTGACATAGGATGCACCATTTGTTTCTGAGTGTTCAACAGGCCAATATTTCCAGTACTTTGATTGGTTACAAAGTTTCTGCAGTCACTGCTGACCAAAGACTTTTATAACCTTGTAAAATTCCGTAGAAAGCCCTGTTCACTTGCATTGCCTTTTGCAGATTCAAGAACTCAATTCTGAATTGAACTGCTATCGCTACGGTAATAATTTCATACCTGGGAATTCAGTCCATATTCATTTTGGTTTTCCTTTGGTGTTCATTCACCAGTTTAACTTGCCTTTCAGTAGGTTTATTCCTAGACGTCCAGGAGTCTCTACATTGTTCTAACGTTACATGTTCTCACTGCTTCTGCTGACAAGTAGAACGCTGATGTTGGGTCTCTGGGAATCTTAATCACCCACTTAGTTCTACTGAGGCTGCAGATTTTTTTGGGTGTTTTTTGTAAAGAGGCTCATGTTACAAAGGAGCAATCCTTGTTTCTCCATCCTAGTCTCTATGTACCTGGGTTTTCTTGTTACATTTTACTCAGGTTACAATTTAAAAGATGTAAGAATTGGGAGGATTTCTAAACAAACACCTAGAAACACCAAGAAATGCAATGTTTGTTGAATATTTGGGTAGATATTTATTAAAATTGGATGTGTCCTTTATTCTTCATTTCGTAAGAGCTTTTTAAAATTACTATTCATTATTACCAAATAGTTTTTTTACAACTTAAAATATTTTTTTGTTACAAATACAATAGAGTAAAAGTGTATTATTAAAATTTGAAGACAAAACCATATTTGCGGTCCTGACATGGATGCTGCTCACTGTGATAGATTGCTTTCTAATACACTGTTATATTGGTGGGCTAATATTTAATTTAATTTTTTTTCAGACAGGGTTTCTTTGTGTGTAGTTCTTGTTGTCCTGGAACTCACTCTGTAGATGAGGCTGGCCTCAAACTCACAGAGATCATCCTGCCCCTCCTTCCCGAGTGCTGGGATTAAAGGCCTGTGCCACCACAGCCGGGTCTAGTCTCTTCTTTCACGCTAAGGAAGGCCTATGTTTACTCTTTGTTGTTGTTATTTTTATTTTTCAGGACAGGATTTCTCCATATAGCCCTGGTTGTCCTGGAACTCGTTCTGTCAATAAAGCTGGCGTTGAAGTCATAATGATTCACCTGTCTCCGGAGTGCTGGGATTAAAGGCACGGGCCATTACTACCCATGTTTATTCTTAATCTAATATCTGATTTCAAAATGGAAATAGATATCAGAAGATATAATATATCACACAACCTTTCAAAAGAGAGAAAAAAGGAAAAAGACCAATGGAATAGAATGTAAAGACTAGAATTGAATTTCACACTTGTTTTTAAAAAAAATTGATAAAAATGACACTTCAGATGAGTCTAAAAAAAGATTAACCAATAAAATAATAAACAGAATTATGGTGTTGACAAATTATTTAACTAATGGCCAGGATAGTGAGGGAACCTAATGCATGGGTCAAATGATTGAAATGCAACAAATAATAAAGCTACCAGATGCCGTGAGCCGAGAAGACATCCATCTGTGTGGACTTATTCATCTTTCTCTGTATTTGAACTGGTATTTTATATTTTCCTAGTAAATTATTTTATTTCAACTTTCCTAAGTTTTAGTATTAACGTTCATGTTTTCCTCATGATCTTCTAAAGATCTATTTTTTATATTTGCACTATTTTTGTTTTTTCCTTTCTATTTTATTTATTTATTTTTCACAAGGAGTGTGATTTTTGTTCTGTTCCTTGTCTTCCCTCCTTTCTGACAGTGTCTTTCTATGTAACCTGGTTGTCTTGGGCTCACTATGGAGACGACGCTGATCTATCTGCCTCCACCTCCTGGTCCTGGAATTAAAGGTGTGGCCTACCATACCTGGAAATTTTTTATTTTCTGAGTTCTCACTATTGATCCTTGTTTCTTCTTTTATCAATTTTACAGTTATTTGTTGTTTTGTTTTTCTTATTCTTTTGTTTGAGATAGGGTTTCATGTATCTCCGGAGAGCCTCAAAATCATTGTGTTGACAAGGATGATCTTGAGTTTTTGTTCTTCCTGCTTCCCCTTATGAGTTTTAGGGTTACATAAACACACCACTGCGCCCAGTTTTTGCAGCGGTGAGGCTCAGACCCAGAACTTTGCACATGATAGGCAAGCAACATGACTAACAGCTGCATTCTCAGTGTTTTGTGCCTCAGGAATTTTCTTAATTCTTTTGTTTGTTTTGGTATTTTCTTCATATATATGCTGGATTTTTTTTCCTTGTGAAAAAACGTATCATGTTGGGACAGACAAGCTTAGGGAATAGTTTAGCAACCTAGGATACCACATGATTTGGGCTAAGTATACATTCCTATTATTTCTTTTTTTTTTAAATTTATTATTGCATTTTATGTGCATGTTTTGGCTATGTGTATGTCTGTGTACATGTGTGTCAGGTGCCTGTGGGGTCCAGAAGAAGGTGTCAGACCCCTGGAAGTAGAGTTACAGATGGCTGTGAACTGCCTGCCACGAGACCAGAATAGCATTGAGCTCAGTCTTCCTGTTTTGGCTTTTGAGTTTCAGGATTATAGACATATGCTCTATCATAAATATAAACATATTTAATATGTTATTGAAACATTGACCATGTTTGCCAATATCTGATTCTTAGTTTGGAGAATTTTTAAAAGACAAATCTCTTCATGCCTTGGCTGCGGTTCTGCATTTATTTCTGTTCTGAGTTCAGAGGATGTAATTAGAACATCAGCAGCATAAGGCATGAGTGTTCCAGGTTCTGGGCAGCAAAAACTCAGGTTCCAAACCTATGTAAGGGAAAGATTTCAGCTTTCTCATTCTTAGAGAAAACCCACCCCTTCTCACTCCCACAGGTCAAGTATGGATCAACGTTTCTTGCTTCTCTGTGTTGGCAAAATGTGTACGTCTTTTTTTCCCCATCCTTCCCCTATGGATGCAGTATTCTCAGGGTGCTGGTTTGATTTTCTAAGCCTCTCCTTGGCTTTGGCTTAAGGCCTTGTGCTGGCTAGTTTGATGTCAATTTGACATGAACTAGAGTCATCAGAGAAGAGGGCACCTCAGTTGAGAAAATGTCTCCATAAGATCCGTCTGTAGGGCATTTCCCTTTTTCTTTTAATATTTTTTAAAATTTATTTTAAATACCAACCAGAGTTCTTCCTCTCATTACCCTCCCACTTCCCCAATCCATCCCCCATCTACTCCTCAGAAAGGGTTTTTCTGAGGGTGTTTTCTTAATTAGTGTTTGATGGGTGGAAGGCCCAGCCCATTATGGGTTGTGCCTTCACTGGGCTGGTGGTCCTTGGTTCTACAGGAAGCAGGCTGAGCAAAGCATGGGGAACAAGACAGAAGCAGCATCCTCCATGGCCTCTGTACCAGCTCCTGCCTCCCTCCAGGTCGCTGCCCTGCTTAGGTTCCTAACCTGTCTTCCCTTGATGATGAACTGTGATGCAGTAGTATGAACTAAATAAACGTTTTCCTGTCCAACTTGCTTTGGTCGTGATGTTTCATCTCAGCAATAGAGACGCAAACTAAGACAGGCCTCATCTCTTGTCTTGGGAGCATTTGAAAATCCGTATCTCAAGTTCCTGAGATGGTGCCTCGTGAGTCACTCCCAACAACCCACAGCTTGTATTGTCACTACTCCTGTCTTCCATCTCCAAAACCTTACATCCTCCTTCTATCCCTCCCCTCTTCCTCCTTCTCTTCTCTTCTCTTCTCTTCTCCCTTTCTCTCCTCTCCTCTTCACTCCTTTCAACTCTTTTTACTTCTCTCCTCTCTTGTCCTCTCCCCCTTCCTTCCTTTCTTTTCTTTTCTTTTTTTTTTTTGCTAATTTCTCCTCTTTCCTTCTTTCCAGCTAAGTTATTTAATGAAAGCAATATTGGTTACATTTCAATAACTATTTTAGGTTAGGAATAGGAGGATTGACTTTCATGGTTTGGCAGACTTAATTTTACTGAATCTTATCAGTTCCTTCACTGGCCATGTGGTCTCTGTCTTTTTTACTTTCTTTTCTGTGCATTCTGTTTCCAAAAGTTTTCAGTTTAGTTCTCCTCTTCTTCCTTCCTGTCCTGGGGTCGTCATGACGACTGATAGATCCCTGGACACTAACAGCTTTTCTTTAAAAGTTAATTAAATTTGTTTTTTGAGACGGCGTTTCTTTGTATAACAACAGCTCTGGCTATCCCGAAACTTGCTTTGCAGACCAGGCTAGCCTCAAACTCAGAGATCCACCTGCCTCTGCTCCCTGAGTGCTGGGATTAAAGGTGTGCGCCACCACAACTTGGTCACTAACAGTTTTTAACAAAAGGGCAGATAGATAGGTGGTCACAGCTAACAGAAGAATATTCCATTAAGTTTGGATCTTTCTTCTTTTTCTTTTGTGCTGTTTACTAGTTGAGTTTAGTTGGAGGGCAAGTTATTTGACTTCGGGGGGCTCATTTGCTGGTTTGTGAAGTGAAAGAATTGGGGAACCAAAGGCTCTAGAGGTGGGTAATAAACAAGGGGTACCGGAAGTTGAGGTACTCGTTGGCTAGGAGGAAGTTAGCTGGGTACGTTTGGTGATTCCGTAAGTGAGGTGAGGGAATTCTAGTCCTGAGACCTAAGACACAATGGTAAGAAATTTACGTGTGGTCAATCTCACTATGGATTGTTGCAGTCCCTGAGGCACAGATAAGGGACCAGAGTAATGGATGCTTGAGGCACTTCCCAAGCTCAGCCTCACCCCATTGGATGACTGTTTCAGGTTGGCCTTGATCCTGAAGCATTCTTCCTGTTCACTAGAGACCTGACATGGTTTAGCCTTGTTTGACATTTCTTTCCCCCTACCTTACTAGTTTATGCAGAGTCTGATTTTCTGTGTTGAATCCTGGAATGATATCCCAATGAGATGGATGCCAGCAACAAAACAGTAGCAAAAATGGCTGGTTTTGAAACCCTGCCTGTTTCTGAGACAGCAAAGCCTCGATTACTCTTCTTTGACCCAACACAGTTAGGTTTTGGGGGAGCATTTTCTGCCTGGCTTCGGTTCTCTAACCCAGTTTCCCACCCTGAACACCAGTAGAGGAGGTGAGGTTGTCTTTTTCCAGGTGCTTTTAGAAGGTGACTGGCAACAGCTCTCCTACATTCTTTACTTACAGTCATGGGCCAGTAGACAAAGAGTATGTATCTGTTAAGGGCGAAGCTGTAAAGGAACATGAAGAAAGCAAAGAAGGACACTTCCATAGTGAGGAGCAGGATCAGGATGGGGTGTGTGGCCACTGTTTCGAAGAGTTTTATTCCAGCGATCATGCAACCCTGGGTGGAAAAATACATATTTCTGAGCTGTTGCAAGGGTTCTCCCCGACTTCTAAGGCCCTCCCGTCCATAGACACCCCTAGAATTCCAATCCAGCTTACCAAACACAGGATCTTGACCTCAGCATGTCCCATTGTCCAGAACTCTTTATTGCTGTCTTTGAATTCCCACTTGTAGCGTCGAAACCCTTTTCTTGTGCCTACATCATCCTTGGGCTGAATTTGTGGCGGAGGTGCAGTCCCGGGCGCAGGCCCAGGCCCAGGCCCAGGCCCAGGCCCAGGCCCAGGCGGAGGCACAGGTCCAGGCCCAGGCGGAGGCGCAGGTGGAGGCGCAGGCGCGGCCATGGTTATCAGTAGATCTCAATTTCTCACTGCTCAGCCCTGCCTGCAGTCCCTGAACAGGCCCAGCTCAAGAGAGAGCCTGGTGTCTTCAGACCCGTTCAAGGATGGTGCTCAACTGACGGCTGGGACTGCTGAATTCCAACGCCTATGCTTGGTCAGCGCGAGCCCGCCTCATCTCGTGGACCAGCAGGATCGCCCCACCCCTGCGGATGCGGAACATCCCACCCTCCACGCGGCAGAATGCGCGGAGCCCCACTGGTTCTAGCGAGGCCTTCCTTGAAAAGGAGTCCCAGGTTTGTGGCTGTTGCGCCCTGGGTTTCTGTCCCTTCTGTCCTCCTGGGACAGCCTTGTGGAGGAGTGGGAGTGTAATGTGACTTTTACACAAAGCTACATGAGGAAGAAGAAGTGTTGACGATTTAGCTGTCCTGTCTTTATGGCCACACACACGTGTGCTTTGGAGCTCTGTGATGACCTGGAGGGAGTGATTACACGCGGACACAAGTCTCTGTCAAATGCTGGAAGGGCTGGGTGACTTCGTCATAGCTTCTGTCTCAATGGGCGGTGGAGGGCTTAGTTTACAGTCTCAGGGCTTTTTTCCTGTTTTTCCTCATCTCATTGGAGACCAACAAGGCATCGATGAGACACAGGATTGCTGCCGAGAGGCACAGGATCTGTCAGACACAACACAGATGAGAAGGAAAGGCCACATTACTTTAACAACGATCTCAGTATCCATATCTCGTTGCTGTTCCTATCAGATGGTGTCAAGAGCTACAGCTTGTCCCTCCTGGCTGCTGTCAGCCAGGTTTGTTTTCCCAAGGAAAAGGGAAACAGTGTGGTTTGTTGCCCGCAGTGGCCTGATCTTATGACCCACTAGCTACTAGACCAGTGGTTCTCAACATGTGGATTGCGACCCCTTTGCCCTAATGATCCTTTCACAGGGCTCCCCGAACACCAAGGGAAAACAGATATTTACATTTCAATTCTTAATTATGGTGAAATTACAGTTATGAAGAAGCAATGAAAATGATTTTATGGTTGATGTCACCACAACACGAGGAACTGTGTTAAACAATCCCAGCATTAATTAGGTTGAAAACCACTGTATTTAGTCAATGCCCTTTGTAGCTCGAGTGCCTGGCAGAGTTGAGCCTGGGTGGTGGATGGTCTGGAGTTCTCTGAGGAGGGGACAGGTTTGAGATTCAGAAAACCCTCCTGCAGTGGCTATGAGATGAAGGGAGGGTGAACCTGGATTAGGCAGGAAGGCATGGAGGTGAGCTGATGCCAGTCCAGGCAAGAAGAGAGGAAGGCTGGCGGTGTGTTTGTGTGTGTGGGGGTCATGAAATGAAATCTCGGTTGATGAGTGGTCAGACTGGGACCAGGGTTGACAGCAGCTGGTATTCCAGCCATGGATATTTGTCTTTGTGGGCTACTTGATGACAGCTTCTTAGCAGGCCTTGTTTCAGCCCCTGTGTGAATTTCTTAGTAGAAAGGGTTCTGCTCCTCGCGCCCAGCTCCAGCTTGGCACAATGCAGTGCTGTTGGCAAATACTCACCAATGATGGAATGGACTTATGGAATTCAAACTCTTTTCAAAAGTTTCTGCATTTCTATTTAATGTGTGTGTGTGTGTGTGTGTGTATGTGTGCTTGTGTGCATTTGTGTGGGTGCATGTATGCGTTTGTGTTTGCGCACTTGTGTGCGTGTAAGTCCTATTCAAGACCTTAAAATCACATGAACTCAAATCTGTGAAAAATAAAATTATGCCCCTGCTGGTCCCTGTCAGTCAAAGAGACAGCGTTTAAAAGCGCATCTCTAAGCTGTGTAGAGGTTAGAGACAACATGCAAGAGTCAGCTCTCTCCTTCCACTGTGTGGATTTTGGGTCTTTAATTTGGGCTATGATGCTTAGCAGTAAGTACCACTGGGACATCATACCTGTCTTAACTTTGTTCTCTTCTTGGCTATTTTCTGTCCACATAATTAAACCAAGTTTCATTTCCTTCCTCCTCCTATTCTCCAAAAATTTGATTGGCTATTTCTTGCATTCTTCCATTCAATATGAATTTAGGCTCAGTTTATCTAAGCTTTGTGACCCAGGGCAATGTCTTTAACCTCAGTCTAATGAGACACCCATGTGTCTGTAAACCTGAAAATTTAAAGCCTAAGTCCAGGACCACAGAAGTGGTGCTGTTGGCGTATTGTTGGCCTGGTGTGCACATGGCCCTGGGTTTGATCCCCAGCACTGCAGAAACCACACACGGTGATGCATAGCTGTGATCCAGTATGGGATGGGGAATGTGTAGAAGCAGGGCCATCAGAAGTTCAAGTTTATCCTCAATCCCCAGAGACTGTCTTGGATTAGAGACGTTATTTATAGGACAACAAGATGAAGGAGGTGCCTAGGCTGTGCAGGACACACACGAGGTCCTTCAACACAGGCAGGATCCCTTCCTTCTTGGTCAAGCCAAATTACTCCATTCTGACCGTGCCTCCTTAGATCTTTGTTTAATATAGTTCTCTAGTCCAGGAAAAAAAAAAAACAAACCAAAGTTGCAGTGTGGTAATTCGAATAAGAACCGACCCTATAAGGTTTGGTGTCCAGTTGGAGAACTGTTTAAGAAGGACTCGGAGGCATGACTTTGGTGAAAGAGGGGTGTCATTGGGGGTGGGGTTTGTGGTTTCCAAAGTCCAAGCCATGCCTGGTCTCACTCTCTGCCGGCTGCCTGTGGGTCAGATGTGAGCTCTCAGCTAGTGCTCCCGTGCTGTGCCTGTCTACCTAATGTCGTGCTCCCAACTATGATAGTCACAGACTCATCCTCTGTAAATGTAAGTCAGACCCCAATGGAATACTTTGTCTTATAGTCTCTTCACAGCAATAGAATGGTAACTAAGACACTTAATTATAAGGGATTTTTTTCCTTGCAGTGTTTATATGTATTGTATATGATTTTTCAAAGTTGTTCCATAGACTAATAAACTTATTTGAAGAATACATTTTGTGAGGTTTTTGAGCTTCAGGTTTGGGCCACTTGACATCATTTGAAGATGTCACTACACGAAAGAGAAGGGGGTTCTGAGAGATGTCTCAGTGGTTAAGAGCCCTTGTTGTCCTTGTAGAGGAGCCAGATTTGGTACCCAGGACCCATGTGGAGGCTCACTACTGTCTTTAACTCCAGTTCCAGAGGATCCAGTGTCCTCTTCTGACCTCCACTGGTACTTGCTTGTATACATACCTACATACCTTAAAAATAAGTAAGTCTTATCTGTTCTGTTAATAACATCAGGATGGCCTTTCTTTTTCAGGGTCATCATATACTTTTTTTTCAGGGGCTGTCAAGACAGGGTTTTTTTCTGTGTAGCATTGGCTGTCCTAGAACTCACTTTGTAGACCAGGCTGTCCTCGAACTCACAGAGATCTGCCTGCCTCTCCTGCTGGTGCTGGTATTAAAACCATGCACCACCACTGCCCGGCTTATATTATTTTTTCATTAAGAAATGTTTGTATTATTTATTTGTGTGTGTATGTGTATGCACACATGCGCCCTGGTGTACTTGTGGAGGCTGGAGTACAAATTGTGAGTCAGTCTCTTCTATTATGTGGGCCTTGGGAATGAACATAGGTTGCTAGACTTTACCCACCTAGCCATTTCACAGGCCCCAGACCACTGATCTTAAATAGAATCACGAATGCCTCTACTTACCCCTCCAATAAAACACAAATGCCTCCTTCGTTTTTCTTGAATTGTTATCAGAGCAACTACTCCAAGGAACACAGCTGAGATTAAACTGTTGATAAAATCCTGCAATGCAGAGTTGAAATGGGTCAACTGTAAATGAGAATGCAATTTAAAAATATTTAAAGTGGTCCATTACCCATCCAAGGGCGGATACCTTTGGAACGCTTTCTCTTTGATTGACAGGGACCTTCAGGGATATAATTTTATTTTTCACAGATTTGAGTTCATGTGATTTCAAGGTCTTGGATAGGACTTTGTCAAAACAGGTTTATTTTCATTAAAATACCATTAAGAATGTTAACATTTACACACACACACGAGAGAGAGAGAGAGAGAGAGAGAGAGAGAGAGAGAGAGAGAGAGAATGGGTGTGTGCACAAGTCAGTGCAGGTGGATTTCCAGGTGGTTGTGAGCTGTCCTATGTGTGTGCGGTATCTGAGCTTTTGGGTCCTCTGTGGGAACAGTACCCACTCTTAACCACTGAGCCATCTCTACATGCTCTTCCACCTTTTCTTAAAGGGTACAGCCATTCTAGATTCTGTGGTCTAGGACTGGCCAAAAGTGGCCATCCATAACATGACGCTTTCTTTGAAGTTTTATATTTTAATGTGAATTCTTCATTTTTTTCATAACTTATTTATTTTAATATATGTAAATATAAGGGTTGGGGAGGTAAATTGTATATTACTAGTTCATTTATTTACTTTATCCCCTACATCCAAAAGTGAATGCTCTGAAAGTTGGGTTCTATTATTTTGTGAGCACATGTGTCCTGAGAACCCACAAACCCATCTGAAGAGCAGACTCGATCTTCTGGAATGAATGGCTGTGCTGTTTTCTTTTGTCTGAGACAAAGCCAGAGTAGAGTCAGCCCAATATCATCAAGTTCTTGTGTCCTTCGTTCTGGGTTTTTGTTGGAAGCGCTCTTCAACTACAGATCAGCCTCTTCCTTTGTGTGCTGGAAGGGTGAGCATGGTTGGAAGGGGTTTCCCTTAGAGTGAAAACTGTGGATTCCTTATGACTAATATGGTTTGATCAAACAAGACCCTTTGAAGCAATGGTCCAGATGGTCCAACAGGGAAGCTGGCTGAGATGGACCTGCCACACAGGATACTCCATGAGAGACCTGATTATTAGCATCCCAATCAGCAGGAAGCAGTTTAGAGAACAATGCCCATATTCCCAAATATTGTCTATAAATTTTTGTTTACATTTAAAGGGGGATGTGCTATAGAGATGGATACTTTGCGTTGATATGGATCTTGTTTCATTGATTCAAATTTAAGGTCAGTTTTGCTATATGCATATTTCTGCTCTTGATTAATATATTGTTTTTGTGCAGCTCATTTAAAAATGTAATGTATAATTAAGAAATACAGGTTAATAGATACTCATGTGTAATTGCCAAACTTGTAGTCATGTTAGTTAGGTTTTCTAGATATATAGAGATATATTTCAATTTAGATAGGTATTCTTCAGATCTTTGAAAGACTACAGAATATGACATTTAAAATATTTTAAGAAGTTAGGACTTTTCGTGACAATGAGACACATCTGCTCCTGGTAACACCAATCTACTTCAACAGGATGATGGGCATCGAAGAGGCTCCTTAAGGAGTTTGTTAGCCATTTGGGCAAGAAACTAACTGCTCTTGCCTGAACCGCTTGGCTGAACTTGCAGGACTCACAGAAAAATGACTGCTGAAGTTGCCTAAAGAAGGTGAGACAGTCCATCGGGGTTCCTGCTTCATGAACGAGTCTGTCAGACATTCCACAGGACACCGAAGAAAGTGACTGACAAACTGTCAATATAGGCAGAACTGTCTTCGAAATTTCCTGCTTCATGGAAAAGTTTGACGAATATGGGCCTGTAGGCTGAAGATGGATACTCCAAAATTACAGGAGAACTTTGGGTGACTGTCCAGGCAGTGAGATGTCTCTATCAATTCTAGAGTTTTGGAAGTTGCTTATAATGCATTTCCTGTTTACTTGGATAATATTATATCCTTCTGGAGTCTTTGATAGAGATGACGAATAGATAGATATAATCATAGTTTTCCTTAGTTATGATAAAAGATAAAGTAGATATAAATATTGTAACTTTAAATCTTGCTTAATACCTGTTTTGTTGTATGTAATTTTACTATGTTAAAGTTAAAACTTTTTTTTGGAAAAATTTAAACAAAAGAAGAATGGTGTGGGAAGTCCTTCTCTGTATATGTTGCTTTTATTGGTTAATGAATAAAAAAGTGGTTTTGGCCTGTGATAGGGCAGAATAGAGCTAGGTGGAGAAGACTGAGTTGAATTCTGGGAGGGAGAAGGCAGAGTCAGGGAGAAGCCACATAGCCCCACCAGACTCAGATGTGCAGGAACCTTGTCGGTAAGCCACAGCCACATGGTGATAATTAATGGAAATGGGTTAACCAAAGCTATAAGAGCTTGCTAGCAATACACTTAAGTGATTGGCCAAGCAGTGATTTAAATAATACAGTTTCTATGTGGTCATTATGGGAGTCTGGGTAGCTGGGAAATGAACAAGTGGCCTCCTACTAAATTGTACTTTGTATATAGTTTTTTTTTTAAATATTAGTTAAAACCTTCACTTTTCATTTAGATGAAAAGGGGGAAATGTGTGATAATTCGTTTGTGTTCTGACAAATAAACCCTGCTTTGAGATCGGAGGGTGGAGCTAGCCACTGTTAACCACGCCTTTAATCCCAGAACTCAGGGGATGGAGACAGGATCTCAGCGCTTTGAGATGGAGGAAGGAGACAGGTAGGAAGCAACTGGCAACGGCTCCAGTTCTCTGATCTTCCAGATCTTTACCCCAATATCTGACTCCTAGATTTTATTGATTAAGATTAGATTCATGCTTCAAAAGCTAGTTGGGGAAAAAAACTAAGACCTTATCTTAAAAATGAAGAATATATATATATATATATATATATATATATATATATATACACACATATAAAGTGTGGGGCTGGAGAGATGGTTCAGCAGTAAACAGCACTTCTTGCTCTTTGCAGAGGACCTGGGTTGGGTTCAGAGCCTCCATGTGGTAACTTACACTGACTATAATTCCAGTTCCGTGGGATCTGGCACCCTCTTCTGGATTCTATGGGCACCAGGCATGTTTGCAGTGCACATTCACACAGGCAAGCAAAAATTCTCAGAGACATGTGTTTGAAAAGAGAGAAATACAGCTCAGCGGTGGAGTGTTTGCCTGGCACACACAGACCTTAGATTCAACTCCTACCACCACATAAAGAAAGGAAGTGAGGTGTGGATAAGACAGGAGCCATGTCAGTGTTGTTCAAACAAGAGAGAACGGCCAAAGCAATCCAAATCCCTTATGGGATACGGCAGCTTGATTTTCTTTTCTGGATGCCGTGTAGAGTGTGTGTGTGGTGCTAAGTACTGTACCATCTCTATACACACTCTAGTGTTACAGAAACCCTATGAGGAGGGGCTCCTCCTCACACCTCCCCCTTCCTGCATTTCCTAGATGGGGAAACTGAAACTGCCAGGTCTAAGGAGTCTGATGACAGATGCTTGTAACCCAGTACTCAGGAGTCTAAGGCAGGAGGATGCTATTTTTAAAGTCAGCCTAAGCTGCCTGGTGAGCTCAAGTCTAGCTTGCTCTATACAGCAAAGCTTTGTCTCAGCCGTTCCAAACAGCCTCTTATCAATATAAAGGTCACAGAGCTAGTAAAGAAGGCCCCCAGGCAAGGGACTGGACCTCTGTTGACCACTGGACAGAAACATAGCACCTCTCCAGCGAGCTAGGGGCCTCCAGGACTAGTTCAGGCATTCTCAATGGGTAAAGAAAGTATGGGAAAAGCCACACGGCATCCTTTCCTGGATACTTCACCCTTTAAGATTATGGCTTCTAAACCCATACATGTATGATTGTCCTCTAACCTGGAAGAGTTTTTTCCAACTTTTCCACATCTCTGTTTTGCTAGCTCTGGTCTGGGGTGGGTTGTAAATCTGCGTGGGTGAAAAGAAGGAGCAAATAAAAAAAATAAAAAAAAAAAAAAGAAAAGCAGGAGCATATGCTCTTCTACAAGAAACTCCAGTCTTCAACTAGGGGAAAACATGCATGTGTTCAATCAGACAAGCCCTTTGCGATGGTCTCTGCATGCTCAGCTACAAGCAGGAAGCTGTCCTGAAGGCTGTTCTGAAGACAGAGGAGTACAAGGCACCTTTCTGGGTTTGGAGGGGGGGTTCTCCCCTGGGACAGGACAATGCTCCCTCAAAGTCTAAAGAGCTCTTTTGTCTTCCCTGGAGGAAAGTGAGGACAGGCTAACTCTTGGGGTTATGGGCAAAGCTTACACTGAAATGATGAAAATGCATACTTACAAGCAAAGGCCAGTGGATACAGATCAGCAAGTGTTGAAGGGTTAACAAATATATTATGACAAAAAATAGGACGATGCAGGTTTCCTGAATCGTGATTGCTATAAACATCTCATGGGAGCCGCCAATGACGAAACAAAACACCGATGCCGCAACAATACACTGCCAGAAAGGAACAGGTTTGTTCAATGCATACAGCTGTTTACCCGTAGCAAATTTTAACTGGAAGCATCTGTTACATTTAATTCGATTATACTGCGGTAGCCTGTATTTTAAAAAGTGTGTGTGTGTGTGTGTGTGTGTACAAGTTTATGCTGTGGTGTGTGCTCGGGGCTATTCTCCTGTCTCTGCTTCCCGTCTCCCTGCAGGAATGCTGGGTTGACAGGCGGCATCCCACCTCAACCAGAATCAGAAAGGGTTCTGAGGATCTGAACTCAGGCCGTCAGGCCTGTGTGGCAAGCTCTTTAGTTCCGAGTCATCTTTCCAGGCCCTGCCTGTATTGTTTTCCACAGATATTTTCTTTTTAACGTTGTTTTAAATTAGCTAATTCTTTTTTTTTTTTTTTTTGGTAGTACTGGGAATTGAGTTCAGAGCACGCTACTACTGAGTGACGTTCTTAGCTTTCATTTTTCAATTTTTAATTAACTAGTTAATTTTTTAATGGTAGGGATCAAACCCAGGGCCTTCATTATGCCAGGCATGCAATCTACTACTGAGCTGCATTCCCAGCCCTACTTATACATATTATTTTTATAAGTTAAATAATATATCTAATAAAGATTGAACACAAATGTTTTTAAATTTCTTCTTCTCTATCCAAACCTAGTCTCTCTGTTTTGTTTTTCAGATTGGATCTCACTATGAAGCTTTCGTGGGCCTGAAACTCACTACGTAGTACTACAAACTGGCCTCAAACTCACAGAGAACCACCTGCCTTTGCCTCCTGAGTGCTGGGATTCAAGGCGTGCCCCACCACTCTAGCTAGTCTGTCTTCTGAAAAGAAATCACTACTCCTGGTCTGTATTTCTAGAAGGAAATCCAAGTTTACACTGGTTAAGTAAATAGATGTTGATTTGGGGAGAAACTGTGAGTTGGACAACCCGAGTTTTCTTTCTATCCAGTTGAGTACATCAGTTATTCCCTGGGAGATGCTAGGATTTCTCCCAATGACCAAGAATACAATCCTTGTCATATATTAAATTCTCAGATGTATTTGTGTCTCTTTTGAGTCTATTCTCCCATTGAGTTGTCAATTTTAAATGCTTTTCTTTTTAAAATTGTGTATGTGTGCTCCCATAGAAGCCAGAAGAGGGTGTCAGATCCCTGGAGCTGGAGTTGAAGGGGATTGTGGTCCAACTGACCTGATTGCTGGAAACAGCCCAGCTAGAGCAAGAGCTCGTAAACTGCTGTTCTGTATCTCTGACCTCCAGAGTGCTTGTCCAGTGGTAGGGTGGCTCACTTGCATCGTATTACTGTTTGATTCAGTTCTCTGTTTTCAGACCGTTTATGACACCCATGACTGTCACATGTTCTCCAACACAATGTCCTTGAATCTTATAACCTATCTTTAACAGGATAGGTTATATTAAGAGTTCCAATAGCAAACCATCCTTGTGTTTCCTCTTTGTGGTACATATTTTAAAAATACAGATGGATTTTTTTTTGTTAATATATTAACACTTTTTTTCCCCCGTTCTGGGGATCCATCCCAGGACCTTACACAAGCTAAGCACCGGGAGCCTGAACATTATTTAATCTTCACATTGGTGCTGTGAGACTTCTATTTTGTTTGCTTTTGCTAAACCTGATCAAGTTTTGATGTCAGTATTATACTGACTTTGTAAAATAATCACTCATAAAAGAACAGGGATTCAGCTCCCTGGTGGAGTGTCTGGCAAGTCACAGGGCCCTGGATTCGGTCATCAGAGAACATAAATCATCCCGAAATTTTAGTTTCTTCAAAAAGATTGAGCATCATCAAAATGATATTTCCTGATCTGAAAGAGCTGATCCTAACCATGTCTGGTCTGAGTCACTTCTATAATTAAAAATCCCTTTGCTTATGTTTGTCAGGTGGGGGAGCGAGGGCATGGGACAGAGGACAGTTCACAGGCGATGTTTCTCTCCTTCCCCCCGGGTGAGCTCTGTGGACCGAAGTCTGGTCTTCAGGACTGACCAGAGCAGCATTTACACAGGAGCTCCCCTGCAGGCCCCTTGCTTTCCCTCTGCTTTTAGATGTTGTTCTGTTTGAATCTCTCTATTTTGGGATCAGTTCGGGTCGTTAAACTTTCCCTCCCAGAAGTTGTATGGCCCTGTCTGCAGGTCCTTTTGTTTTCAATGACATTCAGGAGCATTTCCCCCATTTTCACTAGTGTCCTCTTCCGTTTTTCCCAGATTGTTGCCTGTTGTGTACTGCTTGAGTAGGTCTTTTAAAGATGGAGGTTTTTACCAGTTGTGCTTGCTAGTTTACAACTTTCTGCTGTTTACTCACTAATTTTCTACTTTCATTTGTGAGGGGAAACCCTCAAGAAGGAGGGGAAAGGGGAAGGCACACCAATTTAGTACTGAGAATTGTGTGATCTTGGGTCTGTGGTGGCACCAGCATTTGCTCCCAGCACTCTGGAGATAGACACAGGCAGATCTGTATGAGTTCAAGGCCACCCTGATGTAGTGAACTCAAAAAAAAAACAAAAACAAACAAACAAACAAACAAACAAAAAAAACCTGTGGAGCCTACGCTCCAGCAGCATCGCACTTATCCCTGGAGGCCACCACCTTCCCTCCACCCACCCAGGCAGCTTCAGCTCACCATCCTTAGTACTTTCAACATTCCAGTAGTTGAGAAGAAAAAGAGCTGGAAGCTGCCTCTGAATTTTTCTGGGACCTTGGTCCGGCCCTCAGCGCGTTTTTTGACGGATGCATGTAACTTGATCTTCTTAGACAGCTGGCGAGTTGGCATCTTCTGACTCTGTGCAGGCTTCTTTGGTGGTAACTTGCTGGCACCCTGTTCTTTCTGAACAGTATGCATAGATTTACTGGATGGTGTGGCGCTAAGTGGAAATCCCCTGGGAGACGTAACAGAGGCGATAGACTCCTTTGACTCGGAGTGTGAGGGAGCACCCAAGAATTGAGATTGAGATGTTGTGCCTCTGGGAGGGTGGCTGGACTCACGCCTGGAATTTGCAGGATTCATGGGGCATCCCAAGCCTGATTATGTCAGGCTGGCCGTGGGGCGCCAGTCGGCGCCTGTCCCCTTGGGGAACCAGCGTCAACGGCTGCGGGCAGCCTACCCGCGTGCACCAGCACTTGATGGCGGCTACCCAACCTCGCAGTCTGATATCCTTGTGGTGATCTGGGGGAAAGGTATTTTGCCTAGCCTGGAAACTCAAAATCCAGCAACCACTCCTGCAGGAGCTGCTGCCAGCAAACCCAGAGAAAAGGGGTTTTGGCGTCATTTGAGGGTATGTCCGGCCAGGCGCCAGTTCTGCGCTATAAACAGTAAGGCTACCGGCAGAAAGCAAGGTCCAAAAATCTGTCAAGCTCCCACATCACCTAGCTAAGGGTTTGTGATAAAACAGCACGACCAAAAGCAACATGGGGAGGAAAGGGTTTATTTCATCTTACAGCTTGAGGTCCTTTATTCAGGGAAGTCAGGGTGGGAACTCAAGGCGGGAACCTGGAGGCAGTAGCTGATGCAGAGGCCATGGAGGGGTACTGCTGACTGGGTTGTTCCCCATGGCTTGCTCAGCCTGCCTTCTTAAGGCACCCAGGACAGAAAGCGAGGTCCTCCCACATCAATCATCAATCAAGAAAACGCAGCACAGGCTGGCCAAATCCGGAACATTTTCTCAATTGACGATCCGGCTTTCCAAAGGACTCTCTAGCTTGGGTCAAACTGACATAAAATTAGCCGGCGCGCACATTGAAATTAAAAAATGAAAACTGCAGAAGATATATGGAAGAATAAAGAAATCAGTTTAATAATTAGTACAAAGGAATACAAATTATTGACTCTCGTCATCTCTGCTACGATTAGGAGAATTTTTCTGGTAAGGTCCACTTGGATTGAAGAGAAGTTTCCGGTACATGAGGGCACAATCAGCAATAGCACACACTATTGTCAGCAGACCAAACACCTGCAAAGGGAGACAGGGTCATCAGCTTTTGTCGCTCGAACCCTCAGGGAGCTGCCCGCTAGATCCCTTTCCTGCCAGGGCATGGGGCTACCTGCCACACCACCCTAAAGTAGAAGCTCATTGCTTGACTTTAGAACTCATTGCTAAGTTTTCCCCACGCCTACCCACAGTAAAGAAAAGGATAACCGTGGTACCTAGAACTCCCCCTGAGGTGGAACGGAAGTGGCCTCCTCTTCTTCTTGATTTGCTCTGCCCTGCATTCTTTAAAGCCCTCCTGACTGGATTTAGCTACCAACCAACATTTCTCTCTCCGCGGTGAGCTCTTTGATTTTTCTATCAGCACGGTTGGCTGGGGGGAAGAGTTGGTGCTGGCAACAGATTAAGTCCCGGGGACCAGAGCTGTGATACGAGTTTTGCACTGCCCCACAGTGAACTCTCAGAGCCTGGGCAATGTCCACACAAGGCACAGGAGTCCAGACAGGCCCAAGGAAAATAAAACTGAGCTAAAGGGAAATGGAACAAGCTGCAATTCCACTGCCAGATAGACAGAGCCATTTCTTCTCTTCTGGGCTGGGCAGCGCTCCGTTAGTGGCTTCTCTACTGTTGGCTGCGCTGTTTCTCTTGCGCTAGGCTCTAAGCAACTTGAGGTTAATTGGCCCTCATGCCCCAGCCCAGTACCACCCTGAAGGAATACATAGTCTCCATTGTGAGCCACACAATTAAGATTTCCAAGAGTTTCATTTAAAAAGAAAAAAAAAATTGAAATATTTTAAATGCATTTATTTAGCTCAACATATCCAAAATATTATCCCTTTACAGACTATTGCTATAATAAAAGCGATTGATGACATATTCTATGTTCTTTTGCAGAGATAATACAATCTCTGATATTCAATGCATATTTTATATTCATAGCTTATCTCAAGTCATACTAGCCCCATTTCCTGTGTTCAGTAGCTACAGGGCTCCTGGCTGCTGTGCTGGCTAATAGCTCTACGTTCTCAGCATTTAAACAATGAGCAAATGAGAGAAACCAGTAAATGAATCTGAGGCCTATGACTGCTTCATCTTTTTTCATACAAGACAGATAAAATTATCTTTACAATTGGGGGAGATTGATATTTAGGCATACCTCATTTCTAGGAAATTATATAATCTCTTATGAAGTTTCTTAGTGCATAAAGGAGTTAAAATCTAGGGTTCTGACAGACATGGCTGAGCATGGTCAGTTCTATACAGCCCTTGTTAAGAAAGAACAAAAAAGAAGGAAGAACTTTCTAAGTCAGTTCTCTAGAGTAGAGCCTAGGAAAGTCAAATGACCAAATCCCAGAAAAATACCAGGTGGAGGGATAATGAAATTATTGAACTCTTCCATTTTGGTTTGCTTCTAAGGATCAAGTCTGACTAAACTGACTTGCGTCTCTGTAAGCAGTACTCAGAATAACCCTTTAGTTGCAAGGCTTCTTCCTACCTCCCTTGCAGGAAGGAACTCTATTCTATTGTATCTGAAGCCTTATGAGAATATATGATCTCACCTATGGTGATATGAATTCTTTAAAAGAAAAACTCAGAAACCCACCCACCATGTTTCTTTCTGTTTGTTTAACATCAGGTTTCTGGGAGCTCAGGGTTGTAACTGATTCCAGCAGCTTCTCTCAGTCTGGTACAGCCCGGTGAGGAGCTCTTTATTTGGCTAACTCCAATATGAAACCTTGTCTACTTATGCGAATCAGGGAATGTATCTGCTCACACAAACTATAAGGCCGGTGGGCACTGTATGCCAGCTAGTTCAGAAGCCCCTGGCGTGAATACAGTGCAGTTTGCTGTAGTTGTAGCATACTTCTAAACGACTTTGCATCTTGGTCAAACCTGAAGAAACCTGAAAGACCCCTCCCCCCTTTCTGCTTACCCCTCCAAGGACCGTCATTGTTGAAGTTTTGGGTATCAGTGCCAACACAGACACAATAAGCATGAATAGTACTGTTACCATTGAGTTGATGATATCCTAAAAATACAGAACAGAAAAGTCAGCTTGCTATCAGAGTCCAGCAAGGCTGGGAATACAGCTCAGATCTAGCATGACTCTGGGTCCTGGGTTCTATCCCTAGCATTGTTGGGTTGTTGGTGGGGGGGGGGGGACGACGACAAGACCAACAAGTAGTGCTAGAAAAAGGTGGGGGCAGTTCCCTAAAAATTTTTAAAGCCATCTTTTATTCAATTTAGCACGCATCAATGTCTCTTGAGAAACTAAAATGCTATAGCAAAATAATGCTCTCCGACTACCAGCAAGTTTCTTCTAACACAACAATCATTTAATTAGTTAAGCATTTATATATATAAATCTATAAACATAGCTATAGCTAGAAGGATAACTCATCTGGTTTGGAAAGTAGATAATTATGCCGAAGTTTTAGAGTACAAAGGGTCCCCTAGGAAGCTGGAATACTTGTTTTTTAATAGGAAATGTGGAACAGTCGGCTATCAAATATCTGTTACTAAAATGCAATGAAGAAACCTGTCAGGCACGGCGGGTGACGCCTCTAATTCCAGTATTCAGGAGTTTGAGGTCAGCTTGTTCCAGGCCAGCCAGGGCCACACAGTGAGACCCTTTAAAAGACCCACCCCCAAACTGAAAACAGCACATATTTAGAGTGGTAATCTCCAGGATGAACCCCACCCCCATTTGTAATGCAGCGGCTTGCCAAAGTCTGTTACTTCATAATAATGTCCCACAAGTGAAGCGTTTTAACAAGAGCAATTTAGATGGAGGTGTATTGTGGGAAAATAAATTGTCCTTATCATGAAATGGTCTTGGCAGACTTGCAGTGAGCAGGCAGGAAGAGATCAATGAAGAAATACCAGACTTAGGAAGAAAAGCAGTTGATAAGAGAAAAAGAGGTTTGGCTTTGCAGAAGGAAAACAAAGTTGCAGCAGGGCAATGAGATGGTTGTCTCGGGTTAACTCCCCTTTGGCTGGATACTCAGCTCTGCTTCCAGACAACAGGCCCCACTACCTTAGGCAGCTGTAAATAGCTGTGAATTAGGCTATCAATGGCTTTGTACAAAAGTGGCATTTTAGGGAGTGGTAGAACAGTGAGGGATCAGGAGCGGAGGATGTGCTGGGGGGCGGGAGGGCATGGGTATCTCAGAACATTTATGCTCTCTAGTGGAAATTTAGACCATTGTGTTTGTTTGTTTTCAGGCTACAGCCCAAGCTGGTCCTGTACGCAGCATGTAGCCCACACTGATCTCTAACTCAAAGATCTGTTTCAGCCTTCTGCATGCAAGATCGTGGGTGTAAGCCACTACACCCAACCTAGAACACCGTCTGTATTGAAAGCTCAATATGAAGCCAGGCATGATGGCACAGACCTTTAATTGCAGCGCTCAGGAGACAGAGGTGCGCAGATTTCTCTGAGTTTGAAGCAGCCTGGTCTACAGTATAGCGAGTTCTAGCACATCCAGGGCTATTGGGAGAGACCCTGTCTCAGAGCAAAAACATGAAACCCTCAATATGCTGATAAGCGGGATGCAAATTTAATTACAATAAAATGGAGATTTCATAGTAATTTTGAGCCTGGGGCCCTGGGTTAGCTCATTCCTTTATAATCTGTCAAGGAGAGCTAGAGAGGAACAGAGGCCTGGTTTACAGACTGTGTCAGGGCCTGGATATGGATGGCAGATCTGAGGGCAGACAGATGACCAGTGTCTTCTAGTCAGGGGGCACTGGCTGGAGGCTATCGGTGCTTATCATCCCCTTCTGCCCCTTACAGAGTAGTTGTGGTCCTCAGCCGCTGTCTCCTTCACTTTAACTGAGGTAAAAGCCTCTGGCAGCTCTATTTCTCCCCGCGGTGGGAGACCCATTATTACTACCCTTGTCCTTAGGATTTCCTTAGGAAATAGATTAGGCCAGTGGTGGCTTCCCCGTTTAAGTAGCCTCTCCTTCTGTGCTTAGGCTCATGATCTTCCTGATACCTGCCACTGACGGCAAGTCACTCTGGAGAAAGCCCTCCGGGACCACCAATGAGTACAGCTGCTGGGGAGTGGGGTTATGTGTGTCAGTACTTCTCTTTCTATGTGACATCATCCACTGTTTCTTTCTTCAGGAAATGGTCTCCTGTCTGGTGTCTGTGACACTGGGCCCCCTGGGGTCCTCTCCTGCCTTTTCCTGGCTTCTTCTCTCCACTCCCTACCTTCTCTCTGAGCTCCGTTACCTCAGCTCTAGCTTCTCCTAGTCTGCAGATGTCATCAGTGTTCCACCTGAAGAGCCTACCATCTGGCCGTTCAACTCTTTACTCTGCCTGTCTTAGCCTATTCTCCCACCTCGGTAGTCTTCCAAGGTGGGTATTCATACTTGGGGCACTGAGCCAGGAAGGGGGAAAGCTGAAGGCCAGTCTGGCTACGGGGTGAGTTCAAGGCCTGTTTGGGCAACAGTGGTGAGACCTTGTCTCAAAATAAAGTCAGAGGAGACATAGCTCAGCAGTACAGGACTTGCCTAGCGTGTAGGAGTCCGTGAAAACCGTCCTCAGTAGGGCACCAGTGGTAACAGTTGTGTAGAAAGAAGATGTTGCATTCAATCACTAGTACTAGGAATCCCCCTTGAGAACTCCTGTCTCCATAACCTTACTCCACGTCTCTACCATTTTTATGACTGGTGATAACAGATTAAATGGTCTCTGAGAACTGCTTCTAGTTTGGGGGTTATTTTCAATTTATTTTATTTTATTATTATTTTGAGATAGGTCTGGCCCCCAGCTTCCTATGTTGCCAAGAATGACCTTTAACTTCTGATCTTCCCGACTCTACCTTCTGAGATGTTGATTATAGGTGTGTGCTAAATAAAACATCCGAGTTATGCTATGAAGAGGATCATGCATGACAAGCACTCTACCAATTGAATTACACACCTCCAACCTGAAATGCTCATCACTGGCCTCCAAAGAGGGTTCCAGAAGATAACACTTAAAAGCACGCTTCTGGTTTGAGAACAGCTCTGAAGTCCTCTTCCCTAAGTAGTACTTAGCAGCTTGGATATAAGCATTTCAGAACACAAGTAGACATGACAAGTGTGGCAGAGGGGCTTGTGGCAGCCACCTGCCTAGCCAAAGAAGTGGGGGGGGGTGTTACAGGGGATACCCATGGAGACAGGATGTTGGGTTGTAACTTGTGAGAGAAGAGAGAGGTAACAGTTGATCGGTTTTCGCTAGAACTGGTTTTGTAGTGCCTGACTAAAGGGTCATATAGACCTCCACTAATAATTTCCATTATTACTGTCTATTGTGACAGCTCTGAGAGCCATGGTGGTTCTTGACCAGACAACATTCCTCATGCTCTGAGTCTGGCAGCTAATGTCTAATGTTACAAAACCTGGCTCAGAAAGATCAGTTGGAATTATCACAAACAACTACAGAATTTCCAAGTATGATCAAATTGTATTTTATTGAATGTTTGACTTAAATAGTTTGACTTTCCAGTTTGTGATGAGGGATGTTGTACCTGCCTGTAAGTCTGGAACTATATTCACATGCATTTAAAAATGAGGCAAGCCATCATAAACGGAGAAAACTCAAAGCAATTCCACCAAAACCAGGAACAAGACAAGCTTGTTGGCTCCATATCTATTCAACATAGTACTCAATGTTTTAGCTACAGCAATAAGACAACTGGAAGACTAAGGGATCAAATAGGAAAGGAAGAAATCAAAGGATAGTTATTTGCAGATGATATGACATATACATAAGTGACCCTAAAACTTCTACTGATAGACACTTTTAGCAAAGTGGCTGGGTGAAAGACTGACTAATTACAAATAACAAATGGGACGGAGAGAGAAATCAAGGAAACAACACCTTTCACCATAGCCTCCAACAATATAAAATATCTTGGCGGCAACTATAACCAAACAAGTGAAAGAACTGTTGATCAAATCTCCAAGTCTTTAAAGACAGCGATTGAAGAAGATATCAGAAGATGGAAAGATCTACTATACCCATGAATCAGTGGGCTTAACATAGTAAAAGTGGCTATCCTACCCAAAACAATCTACAGAGTCAATACAATCCCCATCAAAATCCCAACCCAATTCTTTACAGATCTTGAAGGGACAATGCTCTACTCCACGTGGAAAAACCAGATACTTAGTACAGCTAAAACAATCATGAACAATAAAAAAACTGCTGGAGGGACCACCATCCCTGATATCAAGTTATACTACAGAGCTATAGTAATAAAAATCACATGGTACTGGCATAAAAATAGACATGTTGATCAATGGAATTAAAGTGAAGACCCAGACATAAAACCATACACCTATGGACATCTGATCTTTCCATAAAGAAGCCGGAAATGCATACTGGAGAAAAGACAGCATCCTCACCCAATGGTGCTGGTCACACTGGACGTCGGCATGTGGAAGAATGCAACAGACTCACATGTACACCCTGCACAAAACTCACGTCCAACATAAAACCAGATACACTGAACCTGACAGAGGAGAAAGCAGGGAATGGCCTTGAACTAATTGGCACAGGACACGGATTTCAGAACAGAACACTGATAGCACAGGCACTAAGATCAACAATTAACAAATGGGACCTCATGAAACTGACAAGCTTCTGTAAGGCAAAGGACACCATCCATTGGACAAAGTGACAGCCTACAGAACCGGAAAATAATTTTACCAACTCCACTTCTGATAGAGGACTGATATCCAAATATATAAAGAATTCAAAAAATTAGAAATAAAAAACCCAAATAATTCAATTAAAAAACAAGGAACAGATTTAAACAGAGAATTCTCAATAGAGGAATCTCAAATGGCTGAAAAACACTCAAAAAAATGTTTAATGTCCTTAGCCATCAGGGAAATGCAAATCAAAACTACTTTGAGATTCCATCTGACACCTGTTAGAATGGCTAAAATAAAAACCACAAGTGACAGCTCATGCTGGTGGAGGATGTGGAGCAAGGGAAACACCCCTCAACTGTTTGGGGAATGCAAACTTGTATAGAGTCACTCTGGCAATCAATAGGGCAGTTCTACATCAAGATCCAGCTGATACTACTCCTGGGCATATACCCAAAGGACATGCTATCCTAACACAAGGACACTTATTCAATCATGTTCATTGTTGTTTTATTATAATAGTCAGAAATTGGAAATGACCTAGATGTTCCTCAACAGAAGAATGGATAAAGAAAATGTGGTACATTTACACGATGGAGAACTACTCAGCTGTTAAAAAAATGACATCATGAAATTTACAGGCAATGGATGGAACTTGAAAAAAATCACTCTGAGTGAGATAACCCCAGAAAGATAAATATGATATGTATTCACTTATAAGTGGATATTAGCCATTAAGTAAATGTTAACCAAGTCACAATCTGTAGACCCAGAGATGTTGAATAAAGGGAAGGGGTCTGGGGGCGGGGGGGGGGGGCGGTGACAGGAAAGGGAAGAGTGTCAGCTGCTGGGAGAGATGGGTTGGAAAAGTTGACTGGAACATGCGGGGTGGTATGGAAACCTAACACAGTGGAAAATTCATGAAATCTATGAAGGTGAGCCTAATGAGGATCCCCCTTAGAAATGGGGGACACTGAGTCTCACTGGCCATCTCTTGTTGCCAGGAGAGGCTTTCAGTGGTAGGACTAGGGTGCATTCAATTGAGTTGTTGGCCAAGGGGGGCTGTCCCATGGAAATCCCTGAACAACCCAGGGTGTTGCTAAGACTAAAGGCTGTTCTCTCCAAAATGACAGCAAGGCCTCACTGCTGAGAACAACATCCACACACTCACTGAATATGGATAAGTACAGTTAATGCCTTCGCCCCTTATGTCCTAGTCTCTTTGGTGTGGGAAGGTCCTCTGCATGCTACTGAAAGAGGAATGTAACACTAACTCACCCACAAAACCTTTGACCTGCAATCTGTCCTGCCTGCAAAATATGCAAGGGCAATGGTGGCACAGACTGTTTGGAAGTAGCCAACCAATGTCTGATTTGACTTAAGGCCCACCCATGAGAAGGAACTCATACCCTACACTGCTTGGGTAACTGAGACTAGACAGCCCAGAGACCTATGGTCTCTAACAAACACTACTTATCTTAAAGCAAACAAAACCCAAAAACCAACAACAACAAAAACCAATGCCTTATCATCAGAGAGGTGGCTTCCTCCAGGAGCAGATGAAAACAGATGCAGAGATCCACGGCCAGACATTACCCAAAGAGAGAATCTAAATTGGAAGTTTCCATCAAATCCCTCTCCTCGGACAATCCCAAGGAAGAGGAGGCAGATTGTAGGAGTCGAGGGAATGGAGGACACCAGGAGAACAAGGCCCTCGAAATAACTAAGCAAGGCGCATATGAACTCACAGAGACTAAAGCAGCAAGCACGGGGCCTACACCAGCTCCTCTGTGGATATATTATACCTATTATCTTAGTATTTTTTTTATGGGATTCCTGACTGTGAGAATGAGTGAGTTCCTACTCTTGGAACTCTTTTCTTCCTGTTGGGTTGCTATGTCCAACTTTGATATGATATCTTTTGCTTCCTTTTAATATATTTTATTTTGTCATGTTTGGTTGTTTTCTCTTAGAAACCTGTTCTTTTCTAATGAGAGACAGAAAGAGTGGTTTGGGAGGGGAGAAGAGGTGGGGAGGAACTGGGAAGAATAGAAGGAGGAGAAACTATTATCAGGATATACTGTATAAGAAAAGAATCTATTTTCAATAAAAGGGAAAATAGAAAGGAGACAAAAGTTAAGAATATGCTCTAATTTATTAACACAGTTCTAAATTTAAATTTCTTTAGGACATTTATACTCAGGAGAATTCTCCAAACAAATAGGTCGGCAGCCACATCTACTGGTAGGAGCAGTAAAGAGAATTTGTGTCCTGTGGTTGCCCTGGATCCCTGAGAGCCTTCCCCAAAGACCACATGGAGCCCTTAGCAGTGAGCAGAGATCACCTTAAGGATTGAAGAGAACCAAGTGATTAATTACAGTGTCTTCCTATGGCAGGAAAGAGTTTAGGGTTGGAAAGGATCACTTACAAGCAAAGGCCAAAACAACCATCTCATCAGTTTGTCAAGTCTGCACATATACAAAGCTATGAAAAATAAAATAATGGAGAATTCAAATCCAGTGATAACGATGTATGGTTCAGGGGCTTGTGCGATGATGAAAAAGGTCATAGATGCCACAGTTACTACCTAGAAGGAGAAAACAATGATTTAGTCATTGGCCATACGCGCTTAAGCTATAGGTTTACTTATGGTGGGGTGTATGTATGCTGTGTACTACTGGCAATCGACTACAGGGTCTCATGGATGTGAGTGCTGAACCACTGAATTACATGCACCTGTAACCCCAAAATGATGTCTAAAAACCACTCCGTAAGATTTCTGTAAGACACCGTGGGCATGAGAGATAGGACGACACATGTGGGCATTGACTTCAGGGTGTGTTTTAGAGGAGTAAGTGCTTCTCCGGTCATTTCCCACACATGTCGGGATTTTTTTTACCCCCACATATCTCCTCTGCCAGCTCTTTCCTACAAGCACACCTAAGTTGTCTTCTCTTAAGACACCCCTCCCCAAGTCTTTTCCTCTCATCTTCTCCAGAAAAACCCTGTTCTGTCCCCCGCCCCACGCTCCTTGTGACATCTACATCTGGCTGCTTAGAATTCTTCATCACTCATTTCCTCATCATTCCCTAACTATTAGTAATTTGCAATCTGCTGTTAAACTTGAGCTGAACGTTGCCATGAGGGTAAAGGTGAAGGGGAGGCGAATGCAGGTGGTGGAGGAGGTGGGTTTAAACATTCTGTCAGAAGAAACAAAAATCTGATGTTTAAGACTTACTACTTAATGTACAATGCACATTTTTATATAATTCCTCTTACTAAACACAAAGCCATTAGAATTAAGGGACAGCTAAAGACTGGAAACAACCTCAGTGAGGCCAATTAGTGACTGGATAAAGAACACGTGATCAGTGCTGGGATACAGCTCCATGAGAGGTATGAGGTCACTAACCTAGCATATGTGAAGGCCTCTGTTAATCTCCAGAATCACACACACACAGACACACACATACACAGACACACACACACACACACACACACACACACACACACACACGGTGTAGGGGGAGAGACAAGTCTACCTGTCCACACAATGGAGTATTAGCAGCAAAGAGAAGGAAGTATTGATATGGATATACTATTGACATATGATACGGAAGAATCTCAAAATAATTATGATGAATGAAAGACAGATAAGACGAGAATACACTATATGTCATTTATATAAAATTCTAGGAAACGAAAGCTTATCTGCAATTACAGCAAAAGTTGCAGTTACAATAAGCAGATGAGTCAATCCCAGGACGAGAGTAGGCAGGAAGGAGCGGCTACCAGGGCCATGAGAAGCACATCAGTGGTCTAGGTGTTAATATGTGCCGCTTAACCAGACACACTCGGAGAAGTGCACGATTGAGTCATTTCCTTGAAATTGCCATAGAAACACAGATCCTACGGTGGCTCTGACAGCATCAGGACCACTGCTGTCCCAGCAATCAACCCAGCTACGAATGCGTGCCATGTGTGGCTGTACTAAATATCCTGACTGTGGTGACCGTTTCATGGGCCCGTGTCAAAACTGATCACATGATATGTCCCATGCAAATGCACGTGGCTTTTCTATCAGCTATTATAACACAGACAGGCATCTAAAATGTAAATTTGTTCATACACTTCCTCATTTATTTAAAAATCCTTCAAGGCTACAGTCTCCACGATTGAGCCTCCCTTTCACCATGTGTTCAAGATCTAGGAGTCCAAGATCTGGTAACGCTGTGGTGCTACACTGGACTCCTCCCTTTCTCTTACCCCACATCTGGATCAGTAGCAAATCTTAAGCACAGACTCCCAAATCCTTTTTTTTTTTGGTTGGGTGGGTGGTGACAACAGGGTTTGATCATGTCACCCTGACTCGCCTAGAATTCACTCTGTAGACCAGGCTGGCCTCAAACTCACAAGGATCTGCCTGCTTCTGCCTCCAACACACTGAGATTAAAGGTGTGTATAAAAGGTATATACAAAACATAAATGAATTCTGCAGTTAGATTTGGGCTCCATCTCTAAGATATCTCATTACATATACATAGACATAGATATTACGAAATCCAAGACAGTTCTTGTTACAGGACAGTTGATCACACTGTGAACCCCGAGACTGAGCTAATTAGATAAAATCAATCTTGGGTCAAGAAGTAGAACCAGCAACAAGTTGACAGGAAATAGCCATAGGGAGCTAGAGAGAGTCAGAAAAAGGATAGAGAAGCAGACAGGAAGTAGCGAGGAGGGACTTTTGAGCCTGGCAGCCTTTTGGGTGGAAGGGAAGCTCTCTTGCTGGGCTGCTGGCTAAAGAGGAAGGTCTGCTGGTTGCTTCCTGGCCTCTCTGAGATAGCAGGTTTTCACCCCAGTATCTGACACCCGAGTCTTTAGTGGTAAGATAGAATACTTGTTGTACAGCACTTATATTTAAGCAAACAAAAACCAAAGCTGGACATGGTAGAACACACCTAGAATCTGTCTGAAATTCTAGCACTGGGGAGGTGGAGACTCTGGTGCTTGCGGGTGAGCCAGCCTAATCTGATTGGCAAACCTGAGGTCAATGAAGAGACCCTGTCTCAAAAGCCAAGGTGAGCAGCTCCTGAAGACGACCACCAGAGGCTGACCTTTTGGTGACTAGATACAACAGTTTTGTGATTCAGGACTTTTATCTTGGTGACTAAATGAAAGAATTCTCTGAGTTAGGAATCCACTTTTGTCTTGGTTCCTCTTTGTTCCAGCTACTCATCCAGAAGCTGGAACACACTGCTTAACTATTTACTTATGGGCTGGAGAGACGGCTCAGCGGTTTAAAGGCTAGACTCACAATCAAAAAATATAAACATTTATTTATGTTTAGGCCTCACGTGTGCAGTGCCCAGGAAGGCCAGAAGAGGGCAGCACAGGCCCTGGAGCCGGAGTTACAGGTGGCTGAGGGACACTCAACATGAGTACCAGCACTGAACCCCACTTCTCTGTAAGAGCAGTTTCTTCCTGTAAGCGCGGAGCCATCTCTCCAGCCCCTCACACTGTATCTAGACATAATAGAGGGGGCTGGAGAGATGGCTCAGTGGTTAAGAGCACATCCTGTTCTGGCAGAGGACTTGGATATGCTTCCCAGCACCTATGTGCAGGTTCACAATCATCCATAGCTCCAGGGCCAGGAGATCCGACACCCTCTTCTGCCTCCCGAAGGCACCAAGCACTTACGTGGTGCACATAAATACACACAGGCGTGCGCGCGCGTGTGTGTGTGCGCGCACACACACACACACACACACACACTGTTAAAGAAGAAGTAATAGCATATGGGAGTGCCCTCAATTCCAGCATTTGGGTATCAGGGACAGGTGCACAGACCCTATCAAAAACAAAAAAGAACAACACAAAATAAAGAATATCCAACTTAACCCCCCCCAACACACACACACACACACACACACACACACACACACACAGCCGTCTTTCTCTTCTAGAAAGAGTGTTCTAGAACTTATGGAACCTAATGTCAAACTCCAGGTCGTCAGTCACTTTCTTAGTTAAAGAAACCAGATGTTGCCTCTCCCTTGGCACCCGAGGTACTTTTCTACATATCTCTTGTGAATCATAGCTTGTAGCGATTTCTTAAAGTCACAGATTTCTGGCACGGGGAAGATTTCAAATGGAATTTAGTTTACTCGTTCACCTCAAGTTTAAATCTCCTTTGCACAAGCCTTACCAGTGCCCATCTGTGCAGTCTGTTGCCTGGGAAACACTGCCTTCCCTGGTGGTCATTTAGTTTTGGCATGCTTTTTTTTTTTAAAATATAAAACTCTTCTTCCTGTTATGTGGAAATGTTCCCCTTGTAATCTTTAACTATGTCATGTCAACTCTTCAAATTTTAAACTGCGTCTTTTCCCTTTCCCTCTCAGTTTTCTTACATTCCTTCAACTATGGTTGTTTGTAAATGAAAATGAGGACATGGCCCCTCCTAGCTATGATTCAGGAGAAGGATTTTTATTGTAGATCTGAGGGCAAGTACAGTCAGAGGCATCCGGAAGAGACTAGACTGAACGGAATCATGAGAAGCGGGGGTGGGGAGCGAGAGAGGAAGAGAGCAAGAGGAGAGAGGACAAATGGTCCAAGAGGGCAGTTGAAGACCAAGAGAGAGGGCTGAAATGGCCTGTTTATATAGAAAGGAGAAGGTAGGGGGTGGGATGGAAGGGAAGTCCGGCCCCTGGGCTGAACAGGTTTAGGGTAGGGGACCCGGGGAGAAGTGCTGGGAGGAAGTACGGAGTGAACCCTGTCCCGGGTTTGGGACCGTCACAATAGTTTGTACTTCTCATCTTTCTCCAAAGCTCTCTCCAGAACTGACCGCAACTCCCCGTTAGGTCTGGAGCCCTAATAAGGACAGAGGAATCTTTGCCCTTGCTCCGGGTTGAATCAGTTCTGAGCTGGACAACACCTAAAGTCCGACTTACAGTTAAAGATAGTCAACCTTTTATTTTATTTTTATTATTATTTTAATCTTGTTGGGTTCTGAGTAGTGAGACCGAAGCTGCCTTGTCTGATAGGCTACCGCCAAGTTTGTGACTCCAAATGCGGGGTGTTCAGGTAGATCTATGGGTGTGTTCCTACACCATCTGAAGAGGAAGTCATTCTACCCCATGGTTCTTCTCCCAGCGTGTAGAGCAACAGAGCAATGCTTTGCAAGTGGAAAGGCGTGGCTGGAAACAAGGTGACCGCGCAAATGCTGCCCCAGACTTCCTAACCCAGTCTTCTCCACTCCGGAGTAACCTACCCACAGCCCTGCGTTCTCGCCCTGGTCCTCACCATTCGCAGCATCTTCACAAGGCCTTTCACGCTTAAGCAGAAGGACCGTTCCACGTCCTGCTCTGTAGACTCCATTTCTCCCACAGATCCAACAGTCACGCTTCTCTTTCAAGCCTTCTCAGTTAATTGCTCTCTCCAGGACTCGCGCCACATTCTTAACTGCCGCGGCGGAGCCAGCAGTACTTCTCTCTGTTGCAAGCCCCGGCGCCGCGCATGCGCACTAGTGCAGGCCTCCGGCTCTTGCTCCGCCCGTCTCTAAACTCCGGAGCTCAGACGTGGAGCATGCTGGTGTGCACCTTCTCACCCGGGCCAGCGCCACCACTGCTCTCTGTCCAGGAGCTTCTTTTGTGGAGAAGCACTGTTGGAGTAGGAGGAGGAAGACCCAAGAATGGCAGCCCCACCTCCTTGTCCTTTGAACATCTCAAATGTCACCTCCTTAGGGTTTTCCTTGGCCACCTTGTCTAGAGCGACCAGTCATTCCTCTGCATTTTTTTTTTTTTGGTAGCTTGGCTAGATTACAAGCATATCCCGCCGGAAAATGTTGATTCACTGTTAATAAGTTAGATTTAGGAGAAAGAGGTTCCGGTGTTCTATTAGACTATGGGTAACCAGAATGTATTGCTTTATTTAAAATTAAAAGCTAAAAGAAAGAAATTTGAAATTTTTCAGCACAAATTATTCCAAAAAGACATGGAGTTACCTTTATATGAACTTTACACAACATGCACAAGTAACGCAATACCACATGGTACCTTGTAAATATGTATCAGTTAAAATAAAAATATAGATTCTACAAAGCAAGGGTCTGTCTGCTTCTTTTCCTGCAGAGTTCCCAGTCTGGTCCCCCCTCCCCCCTGCATCAATAGCTATAGACTACTATGTAACCTAAACTTAAGGTCTGATCCTCCTAGTCTGGCGTTGCTCTAGAGATGCAAGTACATCTCTGGAGTACCTTTGTGTCCTGCTGTTGTTAGTTGTCCCCCAGTTAGAACAGCCTTCTAGCTAAGGAGCTCCAGTGCAGCCAGGATGACACCATGCTGGATCATTTTTCAGACGCAGGAAGTATGTGTCGCTTATGTGATTTGTCTTGTATAATTGCTGTGATAAAACAAACACTGACCATCGGGGAAGAAAGGGTTATTGGACTTCTAGCCTACAGCCTATCACCAAGGGAAGACAGGAGGATTGCAAGGCTGGAATCTGGAGGCAGAAGCTGAAACAGACACCAGTGACACAGGAACGAAAGATGTTTACTGGCTTCGTCTTTCACAAACACCTCAGGCCCAGCTGCCCGGGGACAGCACGACTCACAGCGGGCAACCCCTCCTTCATCAATTAGCAACAAGAAGATGCCTCACAGGCGTGCCCACAGGCCAGCTGACGCAGTCAGCTTCTCAATCGAGGCTCCCTCTTCCCTAAGAGTTTCTAGTTTGTGTTGAGTTGATAAGAATGAACCAGCACGCTACCCCAGTCCATTTTCCCTCACTGGACCCTGCCCAACTAAGTTCATTCCGCTGAATCTGCTCAGCGGTTACCAACAACCTCACCCCAACCCGCTCACACACACACACACACACACACACACACACACACACACACAAACGCTGACTTTGATATTCAAGATTCTAGTTGTCTTTGCTAGGTGCCTAGCAAGTAAACAGGAAGTCCAGTTAGGGTGATGGCTTCTGGGGACAGATCTAAAGAGTAAGGCAAAAATTGAAACTGTCGTCCAAGATGACAACATCCTGCAACCTGGAAGAAGTGGGAAGCTTCTTTGCCCACACATTGTAACTGTCACATACAAGGTGGGGACAGCGGGGCTTATTGGTCGGGGACAGATGCAAGGGGCACCTAATTATGGCTTATTTTTGCTACCTGTTTACAAGTGAGGATTGTCTCATGCTTTCTTCTTATCCTTTTGTGTCCATTCAGTAAAGATATTGACTGTGTCTTCCCGAGGGGTCAACATTATAGTCCCAATGTTGGCAAGGTCAACGACTGTGAGCTTGGGAAACAGTGGCTTACATCCCAGTTCTCCTTACGTTCTTCACTCTGCTTTTTATTTTATTTTATTTTTTTGTGATGAAGGGGATTAAACCTAGGGTCCTTTGAAGCAAGCCCAATTCTTCGAGGACGCGCTTGGGAAATGGGAATGACAACGTCTTCCTGCAGAATTCTTTTTTTTTTTTTTTTTTTTTTTTTTTTTTTTTTACTTTTTTTTTTAAATATTTATTTATTTATTATGTATACAGTATTGTGTCTGTATATGCCTGCAGGCCAGAAGAGGGCACCCGACCTCATTACAGTTGGTTGTGAGCCACCATGTGGTTGCTGGGAATTGAACTCAGGACCTTTGGAAGAGCAGGCAATGCTCTTAACCACTGAGCCATCTCTCCAGCCCTTCCTGCAGAATTCTTAGAAGGAAAATACAGGACAACCCTAGTAGGCGCGTGCCAGGTGTGGATGGAGCAGGCAATCAATGAAATAATCTGAGATGCTAATGAATCAATCAGCTCTCGGCGTTATTATCCATCCATTCTCGAATTCTAGTTAGGTAAGGGGTGTATTCTACCAGCTGTAAACTGTGTAATCTTCACTTTGAATCTCTCCCGTCTAACCTAGTAGGAGAAATACGCAAGGGCCCTTTAAGGGGAGGGCTGGGAAAGGAGTGGGGCGGGGCTCTAATGCGCACCGGAAGGAAGTCGGGCTAGCACGACCACAAGGGGCTATGCTGCTGCGGCCCCTACGTGCCTGGGCTGCCCGGTCGCTGCGCAGCGCAAGTCCCGGAAGCCCCGGGAACCTCGTTTCGGGCACCGGGTCGCTGTGGGCACCTCACCGCGCCTGGCCTCCGGGTAACTAGTAATTTTGTGCCGCCTTGTAGATGCCACGCTGGTCCCCGCCCCCCTCCCCGGCAAGTCCCCGGACTTCCCCGGTGCCCTAAGGAACTGTGAGGACCCGCACTTGGGGCTCCAGCGCGGCTTCTTGTCTGTCCGGTTTCCTGGTCAGATTTTTTAGGCCTTGGGAGGAGATGGGGCGGAGCTGCCTTTAACCAGCTCTCTGTGGTTGCAGGTGCCTGCCGACCTAGAGGGCGGGTTCAGGCTTCTGACTTTCTCCCACCCTTGCTGGCAGTGGGGCTCTTCCTCTTCCGAAATGGAGCATTGGCCTCAGGCTGCTGCCCTAGAGTTGGCAGTGTCGCCAGCCTTGGCCTAGAGAACAGACAGCCTGGGTCCCAGTCTTGAACCTAAGCTCACCGGCCGCGCTTCGGATCTCTTGAGTGTAGGTTATTCCTTGTGTACAGTGTGGAGATCCTAAGCACAGGATACAGGGGAAAACGGAAAGTAGAATATACCAAGCGATGGAAAATACGCAAGCCCAAATAGTGCACGATATCACATACAAGACCCAACCATAGAGGATCCCGAGAATGGTAAACATTTTTTAAGTCAAGAAAAAGCAAATTTAAACATGACTGTGGTTATTTATCAGATTAGCACAGAGAAGAGTGAATAATTGAAACATGGATTTCCTTTCTTTTTTAGATAAAGATAGAGAAAATGATAAAGAGAAAAAAGCAGTGGTAAGTTCCTCTTTGCATGCCTTCTCCAGTGTAGAAGAATATCTTCACCTTTTGAGCCGGAGAGGGAAGCATTGTGTGCCCACAGTGAAGAAACAAGTATGACCGCTATCCATTGCTAAAAAAGCGAGGATGAGAGTAGGGGTGGATTTCAGTTAGTAGCGTGTGCTTAGCGAGCAGGAGGTAAATTCCCTTCTCAGCACCAGACTGAGACGTGGGGTAGGTGCGCATCCTTGTCAGGTGTGGCTGGAAACTGGACTGGGCCCCTGGAGGGCAGTGAGTTGTGGCACGGGCACAGACTTTGTTGCCTGTGTACTTTGACAGCACGCCCTTCTGTTTTTTGTAATCCTGTTCCTTTCTTTCCTACCCTCCCTTGTGAGCTTGGGACTAGGTTTGGCATATGAATTGCTAGACACATAGCAGGCCTTCAGAAAGCAGGTGAAAGACTCATGTGGGAAACAGGCTAAAAGGAAATGGTGTTTGTATCTTTGCATTGAAATTATGGGTGATATTTTCTATGTGATCTGCTGGAGTCAATACCACTTGGTCTGTATCACTGGGAGTGCCAGGCTGAGCGTTAGAATTGTTGGGCATGCCTCTCTAGGTGGCAGCCATCTTGCCTAGGGTGTAGGCTCAGTCTGGTTTCCCTTATTGAACCCCTTTTGTGAGTTTCAGTTTTCTGTTCTGTGACAAACGTTTGGATCCCCTTCCCAGTGTCTGGGGAGGTTAAACATAGTGGCAGAGGCTGCGCACCTGTGGTAAAAGTCTCTGCTCCTATTTTTTCCTTCTCTCCTTTGCTGATACCATTCGGTGATTGAGAGCGGCTTCTCCGTACACGTCAGTGAGTTGGATCCGAAACAGCATACACATGCTTCTCAACCTCAGAGCCATTGATAAAACTCGGGTTACAGAGTCATTTTTGTAGCTGACATATGGTAATCTGAAGGGTGGAACTAGGGAAGGGCTCAGGACTGGACTGGGCAGACAAGCTGTGTGTGGGCTCAGGTGATATCAGGGGAGGGGAAGTGGGATCGGGCTGAGGATGTAGTTCAGTGGTAGACAGCTTGATCGGCATGTGTGTGGCTCTGGGGCTGATTCCCAGCTTGTTAACAAAAAGAGAGGGACTGGCTCTAGTGAGGATGGATCGCCTGGGTTTTCAGTAGAGGGCAGGACGGGGGATGCGTTTTCTGTAACTGCCGAGTGGGACCTTGGGGGATTCCTAAACTGGACTAAGTGGGCTGTTTACCCTAACCTAGTGGTTCCCTCCTGTTCCTCGAGGTGCTTGATTTCCATCCCTAATACACATCCGTCTTCTGCCAGGTTTGTGTGGAGGGCAATATTGCAAGTGGGAAGACGACATGCCTGGAGTTCTTCTCCAATACAGCAGATGTCGAGGTACGGCACCCACGCTGGGCTTGAAGAAACCTGAAATGCCTCAGTGGGATAAGTCATGCAGGGCACAGATAACCCCGTCAAACAGAAGGATGCTGCCAGCCGCCAGTGCAGTGCACACGTCTGAGCTAGCGTTTTTTAAAAAGCCTCGTGGAGTGGAGCGAAAAGAGCACTCTGAGACACCCCAGATATTAGCGTGTCAACAGGAAGTCAGTGTTCACGTGATAAATGGACTGCTTACGTCGTATGTTTCATACGAAGTCGTTGAGATTGGGGCATTTATCTATCACGGCATCCTCAATTTGGACCTCAGATAGTTCTCAAGTCATGATTCGCCAACCTCGGGTTTTATTTATTTATTTATTTATTTATTTTGCTATACAGTGCTGCCAAAGCAGAATACATTCAGTAGACGCTGTACTGTGATACCCAGTAGATTAGTATAGTTCATGCATTTTCAGCCTGCTCTGTTTTCAGGTGAGGACATAGCCCCACTGTAACTAGAGGAACATTTGTGGCTGAACTTCAAAGTCCTAATGTGTACTCCCATGTCTAGGCCAGCTTCCCTGGTAGACAGCATTTGCACGAGCTGTTAGAACTCATTGCTGGGAAAATTGTGTGACTCCACTGGGCAAGGATACTTGGGAGGTTGGCCAGTTTCCCCCGGGTATATTTCCTCTCTGCAGGTTTGGTGCTGTGTCCTCTCAGCTGTCAGTGTTGGATGATGTCTTTCATCAATCATCAGACCAGCACGTAGGGTTCACAGCCCTTGTCTTGAGTAGTGACCCTCTCAGTAGAACTTGTAAAGTGCTTTGTTCTCACTATCGACCTTGGGGCCAATTAACAACAGAAGCAGCAGCAAAAACTAATATCCATCCAGTGCACCACGTTAAGTGTTTATGGTATTGCGTAATTGATTCCATGCTTATATGCATAACCTGTCTGAGGTCAGCATTGTTACCTCTGTTGAGAGGAGGAAAGCAAAGGATAATCGGTGTTTAAAATTTATATGGGGTGATAGTTAATTTTAGGTAGCAGCCTGACTGAATTAAAGACGACAGCAGCCTCCCACACTCAGATGTGGTCTCAGTTACCCAAGGTCAACTAGGATCTAAAAATATTAAATATAACATTCTAGATTTAAACGACTCATAAAATTTAAATTATGCGTTGTAGTTGGATGTGCCCAGTGAAACCTCATGACGTCTTACTCTGTCCCGTGTGAATCGTCCCTCTGTCTAGCATAGGAGAAAGACGGCAGGTACCAGGCTTGCTGTATGTGACGCTTCAGGCGTGCACTGGCGATCTTGTGCACACCCCCGTGAATAAGAAGGTTGGAGGACTACTGAAGCATGGTTTCTGCGCGCGTTTAGAGGGTGTTTCCAGGGGAGACTGATAGTCAATTGGTGGACTTTTAAGTAGGGAATATGCATGAGGACTTATAATTGGCTACAGGGCCTGGATAGAACAAAAAAGGAAAGAAAAGAATTTTCTTTCTCTTCTTCCTGCTGTGGGACATCAAAACTTCAGGCTTCCCAGCCTTGGGACTTTGGGACTTAGCCCCAGGTCCCAGGGTTTCAGCCTCGTACCTAACATTACACCGATAACTTCCCTGGTTTTCAGGCTTTGGATCTAGACTGAGCTGTGCAGCTTGCATCCCTGGGATCTCAGCTTTAGACAACCTGTCACAAGGCAGAGTTCTTAGCCTCCAGAATTACATGAGCCAATTTTGCTAATGAATTTCTTCTTGTATGTCAATTTCTACGTTTATGTAATTGGATCTGTGCCGTAGAAAGCCCTGAGCCGTACAGTAGTGCATGTGGGGGCCATGTTCCAGCTCAGGCTGTGAACTCCAGGGACGCCACCCTTGTTTGTCTCCAAGCTGGGACAAGCTCAGCTGACCTTGGTAAGCCTGCCCCACTGCGGACTGAGCTGGTTCTCAGTTATTTACAGGGTCACTTCTGGAAGTCACAGGAAGACCCCACCTAGAGGGAGCTGTGGCCTTTAGAGGCCTAGCTCATTTGGCCCACCCTTGGCTCCCAGACAGTAGTGCCTGCCTGTCTGTCTGTCTTCTAAACTTTGAGCGCTGTTAGTGTGTGTTCTTTCCTCGCAGGTGTTAATGGAGCCTGTGCTCAAGTGGAGAAATGTCCGAGGCCACAATCCCCTGGTGAGTGCTTTGCTTCTTGTGCAAACTGCCAGCTTCCCTGTGAGAACCTAGGAATGGCAGTACTGGAACCTGCGTCCAAGCACACCCGCTCTTTGTCTCCGCTGTTAGCTGATTCGCAAGAAAGGAGAATAGCAAGTCAGAGATCTCTAAGGCCTGGGTGGGTGTGCACAAAACTAGGAATCCTGTCAGCTGTCTTTACAATTCTGAGTGGCCCAGCTTTCCTTGAACCTAGTTCTAGGTCATCGTGTTCTAGATGAGCCTCTGATTTGGCTTTGGCCTTTATTATCTAGTAATGGGTCCCTCGTTGTTTACCCTGAAGCTACCTATCTTCCCTCCCAAGGAGGGCCTGGATGCCAGGGATGTGCTGTGCCTCTTCTCTCTCCTCCGCCCAGAAAGCCCCATGTGGCCTGCTTGAAAATGATAGACAGAAAGCAAACACTAGCAGAGGGGATGAAGAAAGGGGTCTTGGGTCTGGGCTCCATCCCATGTTCTAGGGTTCTAGGGGTGCTTAGTGTCTCACAGCTAAGACAACTGTAGTTTTAGCAGTGCCTTGCAGTCCTCGGACAGTGCCTCCTGGAGTTCCAGTTCCACAGCACCTGCGTCTACCGCGCACCCTGCTGTTTGCTAGGACGCAGCCACACTGCCCAGCCTTTGTGTCTGCTCAGTCAGTCAGCGAGCACTCATCACAAACCTTCTACATGGCAGACACTGCTCTGCATACGAGGGCACTGAGCAACGTGAAGCCTCTGGTCCCCTGGCACTAATATCAGTGTGAGGACGGAGGAGACCGTTAGATAGAAGAATGGGATGGCTGAATGTGGGTGAATCGTCATCAGAGAGGCTTCACCCAGCAACGGACAGAAACAGATGCAGAAACCTACAGCCAAATCTTACGTGAAGCTCTGAGAATCCTGAGGCAGAGGGGAGGAAGGATGGTCAAGAGCCAGAGGGATCTAGGACACCACGAGATTGCAAAAACTTTTCAGAGAGAACCCACAGAGTCAACTTCTTCATTTCATGCCTCACACAGCGCTCTTCAGCCCAGGAGAGACATGTATAGTATAGAAAGAGCTTGGGCAGATTTCCTCTAATTTTGTCCTTAGAGATTTGGTGACTATTGAGTGATCAAAGGCTGATTTAGCTTTCCTTATGTGCCGCATAAAGCTTAAGATGGGAGTCCAGAGGAAACACCTTTTTTGATGAATATATATCACACTGCAGAGGGAGGAGCCGAGAGTTTAGTGAGCCGACTGGAGACAAGTGTGTGTGTAGGTGACAGGATTGCGGTCTGCCTCTGTTTATGTAGGGTAGCAGGAGAACGCTTCTCTGTTAAGGTAACATCTGGGCAAAGACCCACGCATGAGGGAGGGAGTCCTGCAGACATCAAGAGGAAGAGTAAAGAGGCAGGTTCAAAGGCCCTGCTTGGCATGTTTGCAGAACGCCAAAGAGGCACATGTGGCTATAAGCTGATTGGCCAGAGGAAGAAGAGTAAGAGACAAGAGGATGGCAGCGGATTTCTAGGACCTGTGGACCAGGATGGGGGTTTGGATTTGATTTGAATTTTGAAGTCCCTAGAAGGTTTGGAGCCGAGGGAGACATTAACAAGCTCACTTTGACTGCTGGATGGAGAGCAGACCACAGGGAAACGCAAAGTCAATTCTATGAATATTTGAGTGCTTCTTCCTTGGGGAGCACAGTGCGGCCCTGCCTGGCTGTTGTGCACGGGGGTAGAGGGGGCTCTCCTAACTGTATTCACAAGTGTCTCTGTCACCCTATTCTGAGAACACTTCATCTCTCCTTATTCCACCTCTGGCCCCAGCTTTGCCCATGTAGGTTTCCTGAAATGGCTTTCAGTTACTGGTAGACCTGGGGCCTGCATTTGCCACTTGGATGCAAAGTGCCTTGCCTTTTGTTCTGCAGAGCCTAATGTACCACAATGCCAGTCGATGGGGCCTCACACTGCAGACCTACGTGCAGCTCACCATGCTGGACCAGCACACTCGTCCTCAGGTACAGACAGACCTAACTTCCAAACTTATCAAACAAAGCATCCTTAAAGTTCAGGATGTTGTCTGAGAAGGAAATCTCCCAACAAAATTTGTTGGGATTTCATGCTATACAGTCTTCTCTGACTACAGCCAGTCTCCTGATGCCTCCTGAGCTCGTGTTTTTGTAATCTGACCACCGATAGACTTAGCATCATCTAACCAGGGTGCAGCAGCACTGTCACCTGGGGACTTGCACATTTCCTAGCCCCTCTCCAGATCTACTGAGTCAGAAAATCTAGGGCTGAGGTCTCGCAGTTTGTGCTTTATCCAGCTGTCCAGGACTCCTGAATGCATGTTTTGTTGACTTGTGTGAGAACTGTTGATCAGACCTTCGTGGGGTCTGACTTTCACATTCTTGAAAGAATCTGATTCACCTTGGGTCACAGATGGCCAGCGCTGTTCAGCCAGGTGTTGAGGCAGGACAGGACATACAGGGCTGCTGAGGCCCTTGTGTCGGCAGGAGCAGAGTGTCGTAGGAGATGAGGTGTCAAGGGGGACCATGAGTGACACCTGTGGGCAAAGCTTTATGCGCAGCCAGAGCCTTTCCTTGTAGGATACAGACATTGGCATCGACATTAGGCTGAGCGGTTGGAGCCAAGCCTGGTTACCTACAACTGCAGGTACCATTCTTCTGTTGATACCAGTCTTTTCAGATCAACAGATGTAAATGAGTTTCTCCTTCCCCAGATGTTTCCTTCAGTGATAGAGAGCAGAGCACCTACAGTTAGCATCGTTCCCCCTGGTTTGCTCTGCCTTCCCTAAGTGGGCACTCTGAGTTATAGCTAATGGTGTGACTATCATGGGATACAGCTGACACCTGCCAAGGAGGCAGAGACAGAGCTGATTGGACTGAGCAGGAGAGAGAGAGGCTGAAGAGGGAGCCAGAAAAAACAGGCAAAGAACGGTAGGAGCATCATGTAGCGCAAGGACAGAAGGAACGACGGATGCACGGATCCTGGGTGGCAGACAGGTGGGCAGAGAGTGGGCCATAGGTTTGAATACCTGTGCTGCTGCGGGCCACACTGTGTCTGTCCACAGGTGTCAGGGTAGAAGTCTGTCCTGCTTCCCAAAGGGCGTTGTAGCTGAAGGGAAGAGTGATCCATGAAGGGTGTGAGCAACTTGCAGAAAGGTGATGTCCAGTCATCCTCTTCCCTGCTGGGCAGAGAACTGCCCAGTTTCAGCAGGCAGAGTCTCCAGAATGCCTCCCCAACCCTAGCCTTCTGGGGTTGCCTCAGACACTCTGGTCCTCAAGTAAACAAGTTCCCTGTCTCAGGGCTCCACTCACCAGGCTGCGTCAATTGGATAGTACTTGGCAGCTTTGCTAGCACCTTCCATATCCTAGCTGAGTCTCCCCCCCTGTGACGGAGGAGCAGCAGTGCTGCTGGCAGCACCCCTCCCCCTCACTGCCACCTTTGCTGTCCTTTGTCCTCTAAACTTCAGCATGGGTCAGGTCAGGGTGGAGGGAGACACACTGAGCCTCATGGCAGACGATGTCTTCTGCCATCCTGTTGTCCTCTCCTCACAGCCTGATGGTCAGCAAAGATGGGAGGGACACAGGCGAGGGCAAGAGGGGTGGGGCACGGTTTCAGGGCTTCCTGTAGCCTCCTCTGCTTCACCTGAGAGTAAATAACTTTTTCCATTCCTTTAGATGTCGCCTGTACGGTTGATGGAAAGGTCAATTTACAGCGCAAGATACATTTTTGTAGAAAACCTGTATAGAAGGTACTGTAGTTTATATAGTCCATCATCATGAAACCTGATTGTGTGTGTGTGTGTGTGTGTGTGTGTGTGTGTGTGTGTGTGGAGGCCAAAGGCCAACCTTGGGTGTTGGTCCTCAGGAGCTATCTATATTGCTTTATGTTTTTTTTAGATTTATTTAATTCTATGAGTGTATGAGTGGTTTTTTGCTTACATGTATGTATGTGAACCATGTGTGTGCCTAGTGTTCACAGAGGTCAGGAAAGGGTGTTGGGCCCCCAGGAACTGGGGTTACAGATAGTTGTGAGCCACCATTTGGGTGCTGGGAACCAACCGGGTCCTTTGCAGTAGCAATAGATGTTCTCAGTCATTGAGCCATCTCTCTTCTTCTGCCTTGCTTTTTGAGACAGGGTCGCTCACTGGCTTGGTTATTACTGAGTAGGCTAGGCTGGCTGGCCAGCATACCCCGGGGATCTGCCTGTTTCTACTTCCCAGTGCTGGGTTGGCAAGCAGATACCGTCATGCCTGAGCTTTTTACATGGGATCTGGGAGTTGAACTTGGGTCCCTCATGCTTAGACAGACACTTTACCAGCAGAGCTATCTTCCCAGCCTTATATATAACACTGATGTTGCAGTTTGCCTATTCACCTGATAGATATGGAGTACCGACAGTATTGATGAGTTCTGTTGCTTTATAATATTATATAACAAATAACCACAAAACCCAATAGTGATAGCCACCATCCTTTATTGCCAGATCACTTGGGAGGTCCTCCAGGTGGCTCCTTTACCTTGGCTGAGCTTAGCAAAATGAATGGGCTTGGCTAGGGTAAACAGGGCAGCGCATTTCTCTTCCTCTTGCCTGTCATCCCCTTTGGGACCAGAAGCAAGCATGGGCTTTTTCATCTCCTGTGGTACGTAGAGCAAAAGTTCCAGTGGAAATACACCAGCACATGCACAGCTGCTCCGCCCTTGCTGATACTCCACGGTCCTGTGCTCACAGGAGCCCAGGGCAGGTCCCCAGGCGAGAGGGCACAGTGCAAGGCTATTGGGGGGATGAAGATTTGGGATGACTGGAGGATCAGCCTGCCCAGTGTTTATGCAGTTTGTGACTTTTCACTCAGAGCTGGCTTCTGTCCTCATGGGCGCAGTCTTTAGATAGTTAGAAGGCTTCTAGGGGACCATCCAATGCTTTGGCCTCAAGTGTCTGCATTTCTATGCTTAGGTTACTGATGATTTGAGGGGTCTTGGAGGAAATGGTTTGCAGACTAAAGTCTGAAGTTTCAGCCCTTCCTGAGCTCTTTCCTGTATAGCTGCGTGCCGGGTTCTCTGTCCTTATCAGTGCCCCATTCTTACCACCTCTTCCTGCTCTGAGCTCCCAGTGCTGTGGACGCCTCCTGAGAGCTGGTCCTGCTACTCCCCAGAGTCCTCCCTCCCATCCACAGCTGTCCTTATTGGTCCGCCCCAGCCCTTCCTGACCATCTCTCTCTTTTTAAAACTATTTATTTATTTTTATTTTTTATGTGTGTCTATCTGGTGCCCACAGAGGTCAGAACAAGGCATTGGATCCCCTTGGACTAGAGCTGTGAACAGCTGTGAGCCTCCATGTGGGTGTTGGGAATCAAAACTTGTCCTCTGCAAGAACATCTACTCCTAATTGCTGAGCCATCTCTCCAGCTCCCTGATCTTGTATAAATGGGTAGAGGCTCCTTGGTTTTGCTTTTTGTGTAGTGCTGTGGATCAAACCCAGGTTGTTGTATAAACCAGACAAATACTTCACCACTAAGCTACACAGCCCTTCCTCCCCTTGCTACTTTTAATGATTTCCTTTGTAGTATTTAAGACATTTGTTTGCATTGTTAACATTTGTCTAATTTTAATATATAGAAGTGGCAGTTTCATGTGGTTCAACTTAACATGATGGTTTCATTGCTGTTACTTGTCCCCAGATGGGTCTTATGCTTTTTGAGGGCAGACACAGTCTGTTCTTTACTGCCCTAATCTAAAAAGTCGAGAGGGCCTTGCTTACTGCTTGTTCACTCTTGGTAGATGGTTATGGTCTCTAGCCAACTTGTTCCTTAGAGCCTGCCCTCTTTCATACACATATTTTTCAGGGGGCAGTGTTCCTGCTGGTCCTGAGCTCCCATGTATTGTGTGGTTGAGTCTGCTGTTCCTCTCCATCTCTTCCTGGGCATCCCACTGACACACAAGTCTCCTTAGTCCTGCTGGGCCGGGCCTGGGAATCTCTGGATTTGTCAGCCACCTTCTGGTCGTGGAGCATGATGTAAGGAATGAGGTCCAGCAAATGCCAGCCACTACGTATTGAAGGAGTCCACCATTCCTATGCCTTGGCCCTTTCCCTGGGGAGTAAACCTTCTGTTATGGAAAAAAAGATTGAGTTCTTAGAGTTGTCCTTAGGACTAAGGGTTTATGGTGCGAGATTTCCTCTTTCCTGCACCCAGCCTGTGGTTTCCTTCACACATGCTGCCTCTGGTTTGCTGGTTGGGGTTTTGCACTATCTTTGTTGTAAAGGTTCCTAGGTTTATTTCCAGGCAGAAAGTGGGGCAGCTGTCAGCCAAAGGCTTTCTGTTTTGATGGAGAAAAGTTTTGTTGCAAGGATGCCACTTATTCATCTCGGCTGCCCGGCTCCAACTAACCTCACAGAAACTTTATTAATTAAAACACTGCTTGGCCCATTAGCTCTAACTTCTTATTGGCTAACTCTTACATCTTAATTTAACTCATTTCTATTAATCTGTGCATCACCACAAGGTCATGGCCTACCAGCAAAGTTCCAGCACATCTGTCTCCAGCGGCTTCATGGCTTCTCCCTTACTCTGCCCTTCTCTCTCCCAGCATTCAGCTTAGTCTTCCCCACCTACCCAAGCTCTGTCCTATCAACAGGCCCAAAGCAGCTTCTTTATTCATTAACCAATAAAAGCAACACATAGACAGAAGGACCTCCCACACCAATGTTTTTTGGACCAGGGCTACGGAGAAGCAATGGGAGAAAGAAGGGAATTTGGGGTTCCTGTAAGATAACTCTTCTTGCAGCTCTAACATGCCCAGTGCACTGGGTTGTCATAGTGGTGTGCTGTTGAGAGAGGAGATTGTTTAGGGCTTCTGAAGGCAGAAGGTGCTGAAAAACCAGAGGCAGATAGATCCAGATTTGTGCGAAGTGGTGCACACCTTTAATCCTAGCACTTGGGAGGCAGAGACAGGTGGATCTCCAGGTTTGGGGCCAGCTTGGTCTACAGAGTGAGTTCTAGGACAGTCAGAGATACACAGAGAAACCCTGTCTCAGAAAAAACAACCAGCCAATCAAACAGGCAAACAAAAAACTGTCGATGTGTCCTGTGTCAGTTAAGAAACAGTTTGGGCGTCAGTGACCAGCTTATATATCACCCCATATGACTATCTGAATGTCTTCATTTGCTCTTTAGGAATTCATGCCAGTTTCACACGGTGGATAATACAGTTATAACTAAGATGTCTGAATTGTCAACCTGTTTTTTCTGGCCTATACCACATGTAATGTAGAACTAGGTTCTTACCTGTGGGAGCTCAGTTGGGTACTGACATGTATGGGGATCAACTGTAGGGCAGAAGTTTGTGTTTCCCTACTTCCTGAGATGCCCAAGGGAAAGACTTGCTAATGGTGGTGGTGGGAAGCCCTTCCACAATGGGGTCTACTCATGACTGACGTGACAGTGCTGGGTTGATCGTTTCCCTAGGAATCCTTGGATCCTTTCCTGAGGACCTGGGAGTGGGGACCTGGCTTTGCAGTCTGTAATTGAGGTTTGCATTTTTTGGAAAAGCCCATAGACATGCATTGGGGTTCTACATCTCCATAAAGCAAAATTTCTAAGTGTTCTTGCCTTTGAGGCCTTGAAGAAGTGAAGAGCACTCCAAAGGAGAAGCCCACTTCTTCCAGCGAGGGTGGGAGGCAGAGCGAGCGCAATTATGCCAACAGCAGCCTGAGAGTTTTGTGTAAATTGTGGAGAGGAAGATTCGGGTTTTATGTGAGCCTCAGAAACAGGAATTTCTGAAACTGGGCACTGGGCTGCAATGCCAAGCTGGAGGCATTGCGGAAGCATCCTAAGACTAAAGAGGCCACACAGGCCATTGGGTAGTAAGCCCCGTGGGCTGAGACATTGACTGCAAAGATTTTACCACACTGCCTGGTCCTCCTTTCTCAAGGACAGGAAGAGAGGAAGGGAGTGAGGCTCAACTGGGGATGTGGCATTGACTTGCCCAGCACATGGGAACAACAGGCAGGTCCTCCCACCTCCCCTGAGGTGGTTAGGCCACAGAAACACTGGGATCCAGGTTAGCCTCACAATTAACAGAGCAGGTGGGAGTGAGGGTGAGACTGGTGCAGGAATCGGCCCCAAGAGACCCTATCAGAACGACAGGAAACAATGTGTCTCATGCAGCCCAGGCTAGTCTGGAACTCTGAAGTTTTACGTAGCCCAGGTTGGTGTTAATCACGAGATGCTCCTGCCTCGGCCTTTTAAGGGCTAGGCTAACAGGCAGGTGCCACAGCACACAGCCTGTGATTTTGTTTTTGGAGCATTAGGTACTTTCAGCTGAACTGTGAACTGTGGAACCATCGCTGGCTCCCATGATGAGGTGATTGAGTGTCTCTGTGTTTTGGTTAGGGTCACTATTGCTGTGATGGATATCATGACCAAAAGCAACTTGGGGAAGAAAGAGTTTATTTCACTCTCAGTTCTGTATAATAGTTCATCATTGAAATCAATGAGGGCAGGAACTGAAGCAGGGCAGGAACCTGGAGGCAGGAGCTGATGCAGAGGCCATGGAGGAGTGCTGCTTCCTGGCTTGCTCCCCATGGCTTGCACAGCCTGCTTGCTTATAGAACCAACGACTGCCAGCCCAGGGATGGAACCACCTACAGTGTCTGGACCCTCCCCCATCAATCACTAATTGAGAAAATGTCCTACAGCCGGATCTGATGGAGGCATTTTCTCAATGGAGGTTTCCTCCTTTCAGATAACTCTAGGTCATGTCAAGTCGACATAAAATTCCCCAGCACACTCCAGCTCTGACTCTGTGCTTCCCACGCTGTCTTACTTACTCCCTCTCTCCTTAGGAGCGGTTACATTGACAAAATAGTTATGAAAGTATATCCTTCCAGACTCTTCTGCCTCATTGCTCAGAGGACAGACTAAAGTGCTCTAATCTGCTTGGAGTTCAATCCCCAAAGCATTCTCCATCAGTCAGTACTACAGCCAGCTGCATGGTGGTGGAAGATCAGACACGTGCTGAGGGGCTTGCCAGTACTACGTGGTCATCATTTGTGCAGTGTGCTCTTGGTGGTGCCCTTGCAAAGAGAAGCCACCCCTGGGTCCTAATGATAGCACATGGCTAAATAAAAACCTCTGCATTCTTGCAGCGGGAAGATGCCCGAGGTTGACTATGTGGTTCTGTCTGAGTGGTTTGATTGGATTATCAGGAACATTGATGTCTCCATTGATCTGATAGGTAAGGCAGGCTCTCCCTGTCCCTTCCCTGGAGGATCCCCTGGGTACAGCTGGGGTCTATTTGTGAGGTTCCACCATCATGATTCTTTCTCCATCACAGTTTCCCAAAGGCAAGCAGAATTTCTTCTCCCTGTGAAGGAACTCTGGCCATGGTTCCTTAAACTTCCTTCTCCCGAGCCAACTATGTCCAGGCCCCTGATATGTTCTGATCTGATGGCTTTTCTGTGTTGTGTGGGAGGGACAGAACTGGAGAGTGACTGATGCCAGTGGCTTGCTGGACCCTGTCTAGGAATGGAACTCCTTTAAGCTTCATGATACTGTGGGGTTGAGGACCTGGCAATGGAAAGGGGATTGGAGACTAAGCAGGCTTGGGCCAAGGCTCCTGCTATTACTAATAGCCTCTCCACCCAGCCCTGTGTTGTCCTTGTCTTTGCTGTCACACCAGGAGCACGGCAGTCAGAGCCACTTGTGTTTTTAAATCTCAGTTTATCTCCGAACCACTCCTGAAATCTGCTACCAGAGACTAAAGATGAGGTGCAGGGAAGAGGAGAAAGTCATCCCGCTGGTAAGAGGCTAGAGCCACTTCCCCTCTTCTGCTGGCCCTCCCCTCCTTGCCCACCATAACATCATCAGGGTTATCTATAGCAAAAAGTAGGAAGTAGAGCCGAGGGCAAACTCTAGTTTGCCCTCTGCGGCTTTGGAGTCCTTGTGGGTGCCACAGCTGCTCTATTTCCTGTGGTTCCTGACTCAGGCTTCAGTACATCCATGATTAGAGGGACACATGCATGTACACACATGCACACACACACACACACACACACACACACACCATGGATATGCACATTTGCCCTTGTACAGTAGTTTGTCTTCACACACGTGCACACACAGACACACACACACACACACACACACACACACACACCATGGATATGCACATTTGCCTTTGTACAGGAGTTCCTCTTTAGCTGTGATGTCACTTCCCCACCTTCCTTCCACTGCCCTTCTCTTGCCCCTAGGCCTCTCACAGTGACACCTGCAGGACAGCACGCTGACAATGCTTGTTCCCAATTTTCTTTACATTGTGAGCACTTTAAGATTGGTCTTACTTCCTCCATGGACTGCACACCTTATGTGTACCGCTGTCCTTGAAGCTCTTTTGGGACAGCATGGTGCTCTGGACTCAAGATCGGCTGGGATGGGGGTCTTGAAAGGCCTGTCTAATCCCTAAAGTCCAGCTGAGTTTTGCCTTGGCACAGCCACAGCCTAGTCTGTGCTATGATGGACTTGGCATTTCTGTGCTCTGTTCAACAACTCAAATGTTACCAAGAAATGCCATGTCTGGAGTCCTTCCAAGCCATTGTCCAAGGGGTTGAACTAATGGTCTTGACAAGGTCTTTAGGACAAGCTTGCCTCCTAGTACCCAGGGGGAGACCAGTGGGTGTGAACGAAGGCGACAGCATGGTTTGTAGGCCAGCTTCTGGGATGGAGGGCAGAAGTTGCTGGAGGAGGTGCCCGGGCAGCTTGCATACTCAGGCTGAATGCTTGAGAGTGTGAGTGGGCAGGGCTTCCCAGCATGGAGGTAACAATGGCTTGGAAGCCTCTGTCTCCTCTCCCTTGTGCTGCCCACAGGAGTGGTCCTTACAGACTGGACAGTCTCTGGAATGAGTGGTCGACAGGGAGAGCTGAGTAAGGGGAGAGGTTTGAGTCAGTCCTCTTGGTGATAAGCCAGCATGAAGGTATAGTGGCGCTCAGTGCTGGGACACCTATCATTGGTAGCTTTACACTTCTTCATGGTGGACCTAGATCTCCCACTAGAGAAGTGGCAAGGTGGGGAGGTGCCAGGTGGGGAGGTGTGCCTTAACACTCGACTAGGGAAGGCCAGTGGGGGTGGGGATGCACTGGCCACTTAAGCCACAGGCTTTTCATACAGCCATGTTGGTTGTTACAGGGTCCTTTGTTCATTCACTTCCTAATAGTCCTTGAGAATTCTCACTCGCCCTGTAGGCCTGTGAGACCCTTGGTGAGTGGGTTTTTCTCCCTTCCCACACCCCACAGCCTTTGTGTTTCTGTGGCAGGAATACCTCAGAGCTATTCACCGCCTCTATGAAGAGTGGCTGGTCACTGGTAGCCTTTTCCCAGCTGCAGCCCCTGTTCTGGTAAGTCAGCGTCCCTCCAGGAATGGAGAGTTTTCTATGGGGAGAAAGCCCAGAGAATGTCGCCCATACCATGGAAAAGAGCTCTTTCTCTCTCTGCCCTGTTTCTGGACACATCTCAGAGGAACTTGCTCAGACTTGAGCAAAGACTGGTTACCTTAGTAACATGTCACCCACACAGCCAGCCTCGCTGCACAGGACTACCCGAGCTGCCTCTGGCCCATTCCTGATGGTTAGGTGATGGCTCAGGCGGAGCTGAGGGTGTGGAAGTGCCACGCTGCTGCTGCCTCCGAACTCTGTGACTGCACAGCGGAGCGACAGTATCTTCCCTGTCAGTAGTCCTACTGCTTGTGCCCTGTGTTCCAGTTTGCTCTTCCTGCTTCCTTAGGCAGGCAGTTACTACTTGAAGCAGTCGCATGTCCAGTAGGAGAGCCTGAGCTTTTGTTTATGGCCTAGGCTGTGGGCCACGTAGATACTCTGGCCCTGAGAAGCAGGTGGCAATGCTGCAGCAAGGGCCGTCTGCACTGTGGGAACGTTCAGTTTGTTTTCCTTCCCTGTGAAAAGAAAACCTGAGGGGTTAGGGAACTAGCAAGGGCTCAGAAGGCTTTTTAGATGTTTGATTCCCTGGCTTAATTCCCAGCACAGCCCCGACTCCCAATTCCAATGAAAAGAAAAGGCACTGACGCCGGGATGGATTCTTTGGTAAAAATTCAGCTGGGAGTGTAGAGTCCTGGACTTGGAGCTATGTGGTTTTGACCCTCGTGGCCTTTCAGCCTCTTGCTCTTCCCCAGGGAGGAAGGAGTCGCTCAGTGTAGCCTGTGACCTATTTGCTTTATTTCCAGGTGATTGAGGCGGACCACGACTTGGAGAAAATGTTAGAACTCTTTGAACAAAACCGGTCCCGGATATTAACTCCAGAGAATTGGAAGCATGGCCCATAGGACTGGACATGGCCACAGTCTAGAAGATGGTGCCAGGAATAGCCTAGCAGGGCCAGGCTAGCTGTTAGGAGCATTTGGAAGTGTCTACTCTCAGGAGGGTCTGTTACATGGTCAGATCTATTTTCTTTATGGTTTTTTATTATGGGACAAATGGCTTTTGTCGTCAGATCCTTGCAGCACACATTCCCCCTGGTGCCCCTCCTGGTGGCTTCCTGAGGCTGAAGCCCTTTGGAAAAACACTTGCTACGTTCTGGTGTTGCTTTAGCTGCTATGCGTCAGGCCACCAATGGGGCAAGGGAGCCCTCCTCCAGCCCAGGCAAGGATTTAAAGCTCAGAGAGGTGTGGGGACTCTTCAAGGTCACATAGCCAGTGCCTAGTGGAGCTGGCACCATTCAGCTTAGGCTGCCTCCTCCTGAGCTGTTCCCCTCAGCCCTGCTGCTCTGAGCTCCAGCCCCCCACCCCTCATCTTTGTGAGAAGAGCGGGCAGTATGGATTCCATTCCATTTAACTCCTGGGCAAGTTTCAAGGAGAACCAACGAGACTAGTCTTTGGCACACCTCTGTTTTTTGGCTGGAGCCCAGAGTTTTCCTGGCACAAAGGAGCTGAAGCCTCTGCCCCTTTGTCATCTGCACTTCAGTGTCCGCAGGGGAATCCTGCATTGGCCTTGGACAGTGCCAGTGTCTTTGAGGGTGAAGGCCCTCCCCAGATTGCTTCCAGTTTCATGCCGCTCTGTGTCAGAAAAAAGACTTTTGGGACTTGGACCCTTTGCCCTGTGCTGAGTGAGGCCAAGGGCAGCGAGCTGGGCTCCCAAGTCCCATCACTCTCCATCCTTTGTGTGAAGAACAGGGCCTTTGGAATTACTGAGTGTTTGTGCCCCAGGGAAAGAGACATTAGCAGCCTTAATCTTCAAGTGTGTTTCCATCTGAGCGGATGTCTTGGACCACAGAGCATGAAGACATCTCTGTGGATCAGAAAATACCTTAGCTTTGCTGGGCCATCACTGCACACAGAAGGTACAGCTGCTGCTTGAACCAGTCGAGACCAAGGGAAAGGGAGACCATTCCCCTGGGGGGAGTCAGGGCTTGCAAAATGAAGGCATTTGCAGTCTTGCTGCTCCTGATGTTCTGGAGTTGGTGGGGTGCATCTGGAGAAGACTGGATGCAGACTCGGAACGGTTACCGTGTGCTCTGCAGAAATGCAGCATGGTGGGCTGCCGACGAGTGAGTGGCAGATGGCCTCGCTCTGCCTCGCCTTTCTGTGGGTGCCTGGAATGCCAGTTGGCCACAGAGAGGGCCAAGAGTCCAGCTGATGATCCCTCCTGTTTGGGCCAATTCTTGCCCAAGGGATAGCACGAGGGATAGCAGCTAAGGGGACCATCCATCGGTACTTACAGTCCAACAGCGATAAAGCATAAACCGAGAGGCAGAAACCTTTGTGCCAGCAGTCCCGGCGTGGGAACATCTTTAGAGTTTGCAAATGAACAGTCCAGCACCTGCCCCTCTGCTCAGTCAGAATACTTGTTTTGGAGAGAAATGTGATTTTTTTTTTTCTACGGTAGCCAATAAATTCTACATCTAAACCCCGATGTTATTTTTCTCTTTCATTTTCTTTTCTTTTTTGAATCAGAGTCTTACTGTATGGCCCAGATTGGCTTCACATTTCCTACATAGCCCACCCAGGCTGGCCTTGACCTCTCAGTAGTCTTTTTGCCTCAGCCTTCTGGGTGCTGAGATTATAACATGAGCCACTATGTCTGCCTTTTTTTGTTCATTTTTAATTTAATGAAATTCTGTTTTTATTTTTTATGTGTTTTGCCTGTACATACATGTGTGCCTGGTGACCATGGAGGCCCGAAGAGGGCATTGAATCCCTTGGGACTGGAGTTATAGGCAGTTGTGAGTTGCCATGTGGGTGCTGGGAATTGAACCTAGGTGCCTAGAAGAGCAGCCAGTGCGCTTAACCACTGAGCCATCTCTAGCCCCATGTGTTCCATTTTTAAAATGCCATGTTTTCTAACAGTGCGCATGGTCCAGAAAGAGCTTGTTGTCCTTATACCTTGACACCTCAGATAGGAAAAGGAAACCATCTACAGCAGTGGCCAGGGTTGTTTGCAGAAACTTTCCAGCTCAGAGATCACTGCTGTCTATCAGGCAGATCTAGTAGGGGTAGGGGTTATGGACCAGTTACCAGCACTAACATTTCACGGCCAGAAAAGGGCAGGCAGCACATGGGAGGCTGTAGGGCTTAGCTCTTAGACACAGACGTCACTCCCTAGAGCTGTCCCTGAGTGGCTGGGAGAGCATGGTAGAGGCTGGCATCCCTGAAGAGCCAGCGTGCACTTGCTTTAACCCCAAGACTGATGTAAAAGCAAGGCACATGAGCACCTGCATCACTGTACCCTGTCCCCAACTGCTATGGATGTCACCTGCTAAGGCTCTTCACGCCTCATGCTTGAGATCTATCAGCTGCAGAAGCAGGCACTGCAGGCAGTGTGGGCAGGTCGGAAGAGCCAGGTAGCTGCCAGGCCAGGCCACACTCGGACTGACCAAGGATTAGCAGGGGCAACAGCTGGCAGACCGTTGAGCTACGTTCTGCACTGTCTCAGGATCCCCGTGGGACTGGCTCAGGGTGGTCCTGTTCACAGATGTGCCCTTTGCAGAGTCTCCTCTCTTCCTCACCCCAGCTCCTTCCCTGCTTCCTGGGGTCACCTCTCAAATGAACCACTTACATCCAAATCCAAACAGACAATCCCTTCTTTTCTTCCCCCACCCTCCCTCCCTTGCTGCTTTCCTCACACCCAGGACTTTTGAAATTATTCTTCCAGCCCCTCATTCCTTCCAGCTGGGTCACATTCACAAACAGTGCTTCGGAAGGGTCACTTCTTAAACAGTTCTTTGTGAAAAATGACCTGTGGCCAAATACATTTGGGACACCCTCTGCCAAGCAAGGTCCCTTTGCTTCTTGCCTCCTGCATCTTTCAGACTGAGTAGCAGGCAAGTGGCGTTTGGCCTTCTTGGAGGGACAGAAATGGATGGTACTTCCAACCTCTTGGACTTCCTAGATAAAGACAAATTATTTTGATTTTTGAATTATGTATATGGCAGCGTATCTGTGTGGTACCCCGCATGTGGACAGAGAGGGTCTTGGATGCCCTGGAGCTGGAGTTACGTGTGGTTGTGAGCCACTGAATGTGGGTGCTGGAAATCAAATCTGGGTTCACTGTTTAATCCTGTGTTTTCCTAAGGTCCTCAAGTCAACTGTGTTTTCAAAGCTCCTTGGTTGGGTAAGGTGAAACAGGCAATCTAGGGGGAGTTCAGTAATGTGGGGCTCTTCCGGATTAGGCAAGGCACCCCCTCTTCAAATAACAACGGGAAACCTAGTTCCTTATATGCACGTACAATACACCTCCCTCTGTAACCAGGTAGCTAGTAGCAACCTTGGCTCACCACCTGGGGCAGGTTGCACACACTCTCCTTGAAACAATGGGATAAGCTCCTCCCTTAACAACAACTAGACAGTTTCTATTCAAATATATTCCAGTGTGTTCTGGTACGAAGAATAGAAAGGCTGATCTGACCTCAACTGGTTTTGGGTGTACCTGCAGGATAAGGCAAAACTGAGTCCTGGAGTAAGCTTTCTGGGAGAATCCTCTATTTTTACCGCCTTATGCCTTTGCGTAACAGGGTGTGCACGGTGACAGTCAGATACATTACGGGAAGGGGTATGCGCAGCAGAAAGCGGATTAGATGACCAAACCTATGAATTAAAACAGAACCATCCTCACTCTGCCTCTTAGAAACAAACGCCTCATTCGTTTGGGTACCATAAAAGGAAGCCCCAAACAATAGTACAATAGTCGGAGCCTTGAGTCTCCTCACTCGTGACAGTGCGTCCCTTCCTAATCTATTACTATCTCTTCGGTCTGATTAAAGTTACTTGCTATTTTTAACTTTTTGCAAATTGGCACGAGACGTTATTTTGAGTTCTCTGGCTAAGAGGCCAAGAACCTAGAAATGCCTGATCCAACCCTGACAGCTCTGACCACCAGTAAGAAAGGTAGAGCACTCACAGGTTCTGGGATTAGGATGCAACCATCTTTGGATGGGAGGGGAGTCCCTCTTTGGTCTGTCTCACTATTTAAAGTCGTACCTGTCCAACACCGTGAAACTTTGTAGTTGAGAATGGGAGGCTTCTAGATGGGGATACGCAGGGCTCTAGTCCTTGTCTCTGGGCCAACGGGTACATATAGGGGAGAGACGTGTAAAATGAGTCTTGTTTTTGAGATAGGGTTTCATATCACTCAGGCTAGGCTGGCCTCAAACTCAGTATGGAGCTGAGGCTGGTTTTGAACTGATTCTCTGGCCTCCACGTGAGTGCTGAGATGCACCCGGGTATCTTACAGACACGCACTGCCACATTCGGCTTCCTGTCTTTCTCTTTCATGCCTTGGCTCCAGGCAGATTTATTTGCTCTTGAGGAAGCTGGAGCGGCCTGTCACTAACCCAGACCTCGCAAACCCGCAGACTCAGTTTCCTCCCTCTCAGGTGTTTCTTGTTTACTTTTGATTTCTTACGGAGTTAACTGTTTCCCCGAACCTAGGCAGACATTTTAGTTCCCAGCACTTGGGACCCCATCCGGCTGCTCATCTCTTCTAGTTCTCCAAGGTAGGCTGGACTGGAAGGGGTGCGGGGGTGAAAACACCAGGCATGGTTCCTGAACTTCCCCTCTGGCCTTCTGTGTCCTGCTCCTTCATGGCAGCTTTTTGGTCTGACGCCCCGCTCCACATTGGTCCGCTGCAGCCTGGTGTATTTTTTTTTAAATATTTATTTATTTATTATGTATACAATATTCTGTCTGTGTGTATGTCTGCAGGTCAGAAGAGGGCACCAGACCTCATTACAGATGGTTGTGAGCCACCATGTGGTTGCTGGGAATTGAACTCAGGACCTTTGGAAGAGCAGGCAATGCTCTTAACCTTTGAACCATCTCTCCAGCCCCGCCTGGTGTATTTCTTGTCCAGAGAACTTGTTATGTTTTCTGGGCCCTCGAGAGAAACTGCTTTCACTGGCTGTCCATGTGCTTAGCTTTGGGGGAACAAATGGGGATTAGCAGGGAGGTGGGACACGGGATAGTCAAGGACGGCTTTGGTCTCTGGAGACTGGGGAACCTTCACTTTCAACAGCTCCTAAGGTCACTGTACAACCTATGTCCTTGACCTTCAAGGGAGGGAGAGTTAGTTAAAGGTGCCACCTGGGCAGAGGGTTCCAGGTCTAAGACCAGGCACTTAATTGTCAATCAAGCTCATGCATAACACCAGGGGAAGGACGGTTTTCTTTAAAAATAGAACTACATACAGTTACAGGTTTTCCATTCCAAAGTCTCACTCACCCCTGTTGGGCTCTGTGCTGGATCCCCCTCTGGAGAGCGACCAGCCCTGATCCTGGACCCCTGGTCTCAGGTAAGTAACTCAAGACACTCAGGAACAATCCAGAAAGGGAGGGTCTGGAGGGAGAAGAGACAAGAGTCCCAGCGAGATAGTCCTGAGGGAGGAGATGGTCCCTGGACTGTAGCCTCAGGCCCTGTGTGACGTCACAGGTCCATGCCTTAGCCTTTGCCCAAATGTCTGTTCCTCTTCAGAAGCGGAGCTGTATAATACTGTGGGTGGCTGTATTTCTTGTGTGGGTCTTGCACACCCACAACTCATAGAATGGTTTTAACGCAGAGTCTGATTATTTCCTTGCACGATGGATATTGGAACTGAGCCTCTCTGGGCACGGTGCCCTTCCCCACTCCCCAAAAGAGAAACCTTGGGTGTAAGAGTCAGGATAAATTCAAAATGTTGCCTAGTGAGTCTAGTCTAGCTAGAGGCTGATTCTGACTTCATCTGCTACGGGCTATGGTCAGCAATCATCCCCTGCCTTGCCTTCCTGGTTTGTCCTCATCACCTTGTGGTTCCGTTTACCTCTGGTTGGTGATCACTGAGACGGATGCTTGGTGGGTAGAGCCACGATGGGTAGGGCTTGGTGGAGAGGGCCAATGGGTACAGTGGTAGGTTGAACCTGGTGCGTAGGATGACGGGTAGGGTAGAGAATACAGGCTAAAGCCTGGTGTCTTGTGAGTGTGTATAGCCCTCTTTATCTCATCCTCTCTTTTAGAAAACCCATCCCAGGATAGACTATCTGGTTCACCTTCCCTAGAGTGGCACATGTCCTCTGGTCAGAGATAACCAGAGACCCCCTTGCCTTGCCCACAGCCACAGCCACAGCCTCTTAGAGGTCCAGGAGAGTCCTGTTCAGGCCATTCAGATTTCTGTGAGATATTTATATTTGCTTTCTGGCAGGGGGTGGGGGGTGTCTTTTCATTTTGGGTCTGGAACCACCAGCTCAGACATGGGACATCTACTGCCATTTTCCCAATGGAAGAATGGAGACAGTGTGGTAGTCAGAGTCCAGAGAGACAGTATACCAACCCATGTCCTTGGAATTTCTGGATCCTCCATGCCTGAAGTCTGATTTATCACTTGACAGTTTAGTTACATGAACCACTGAGTATTCTATTCTTTTTTGCCTCTTGCAATT